TGCAGGCAAGCACTGAATCCAATGACCAGGGTAATAGTATATTTGTAAAGTGCTTAGAGACATAAATTTGTGATAAACGCTATATAACACTAAATACTATTATTATTATTAATATTATTATTAAATTATAGTAGGGCGTTGATTGAAAAGTTTGAGGTTATGCAAACTTCAAAGTTTTAAACTTTGACAATCCTGTGCGAACATTGCTACAATCGACTTTATCCAATACTTAGTCACCATCAAGGATGTGATTTAAATCCAGAGTATCATTAAGTATTTCAAGACAATTGTTTAGAATTGCAGTGTACTGAATATGAACATGGCCTAAGAGTCTCTCAGTTTGGGCTAAAAACAAATTGAACCCCCTCCTCCCAACAACAACAAAAAGCACCCAGAAACTAAAATACTACAGGTCTACATTTGATGATTAAAAGTGAAAAAACTGCAGCTCTAACTATTATAATGATAGCATTCTGATGCACATGTTGACACAAAAACTTATCTTCTTAAAAATAAAAATTAAATCATTTTTGCTTCAAGTTTAGATGGTCTTTACTTTTCACTTTCAGTTTGTAGATTACCTTTACTCTGTGCCAAAATCCTGGCCAAAATGAAACCATTGTACAGTGTACGTGCAGAGCATTTAATTACATTCAAAAGGAATAAATATCCAGACTTTCTTGAGTAAATGTACAGGCTGGTTCCTGCATCACTTCCCTTTGATTGAGTCAACATTTCCACCTCAACTCACCCTCCTTCTCTCTCTTCCTCTTCCCTTTCCTCTTTCTTTCTCTCTCTCTCTCTCTCTCTCTCTCTCTCTCTCTCTCTCTCTTCCTCTCACTTTAACTCTCTCCCATAATTCTCTACCATCCTGTCAGAGTCACTTACTAAACTTCCTCCGTCTTTTTCCTCACACTCTCTAGTCTCTAGACGACTCTCACTCTCTCTCTTTATCTCTCTCTGCATCTCTCCTCCTTCTCTCCCCACCCCACTCTATCCTTCCTTTATTCCCACTTTCTGCAATAAAAAACACAATCCTTTTTTTTCCTCCAGTCTCTCTGTCTCTCTATCTGCTGAGCCAGAAATCCCATGACCATTATGTACTTTCAATTTAAATGGAAATCTAACATTAAAGGTGTAGACCAGTTTTGGAAACGCCCCCCTCTCAAAAAATGAAATAGAAGCTCTTATTACCAATCATGTGAAAGAATATGTTTTGACTAATACACGATGATACAAATTTTGCCGGGAAACCTGCTACTAGTTGATATATTAGGTATATTATATCTATTCGGACTGGACAGATATCGCGTAGTCCCATATACATCTTTCTGTGTACTAGGCCTGAGTCATGTCGGTATTTTCATAAACCGGGTCCCGACGGCCTTGCACCGATCGGGACCCGGTGTCCCGAAATCAGCTCGCAGGATTTGTCACTTGCCTCTATAAAAAGCGCATATCATCAGTATGTCCCTTAAAAGTGACCTTTTTTATCAGTCAAATAAATCAACACATGCATACCTCGGCACAGATCGGTATATTCTTCCATTTGACATTATTTTTATCCATGATTGGCGATGTTTAGTGCCATTATCGTGCCTCTAAAAGTAAAAAAACTGGAGCAAAAATAGAAAGACAATGATCGAGCCGCCATTTTGATTCATGCAGGTTGAAAAAAATCGGGTCAAAAAACATTAATGTTTGAATAATAAAACGGCTTTCTAAAAAGTACTCCTTTACAACATACCGATCGAATAATTTTTAAAAACAAAAAAGATATTTTTTCTTTGATTTTGAACACCGCATGCTTCTTTTAAAAGCTGAAAATTACTTGGTAATCACAAGAAGTTTCGATACGGATAGCCGTTGCAAGGCAAGTTCAGACTAGTCTCGGAAAAATGCGCAGTGCTCCTTGTTAGCTGTAATGCGTGCCAGAACGAACCCAAACAAAGACGTGATCGTAACGAGAAAAAAATCATTAAAAACTACGAGAGCACAATTGGAAAGACAACTACTGCTCAGAATTACGATAATCAGATAAATAACTTAGACAAAGAATTCAATAATCACCCAAGAAATGCCAAAGAAATTGTGATAATCGAGGAGTAACTGGGTACATTTTTATCGCAAGGGGCTTGCTGCAAATACTCGAATCCTTTGTTATACTGCTTTTTACCGTAGAGGGCGTTATTTGGTTTCTAGCCTCGTGTAATTCGGACATATTAGCAGGCCCATTCCGATAATGATTGTACCTATAGTAACTCCTTAAATATCACTATTTCTGTCGCTTTTCTTGGACAACTATTGTATTATTCCTCCAAGTTATTTATCTGCTTACGATAATTTTGAGTAGTTGTCTTTCCAATTGTGTTCTCGTAGTTTTTAATTATTTTTTCTCGTTACGATCACGTCTTTGTTTGGGTTCGTTCTGGCACGGATTACAGCTAACTACGAGGAGCACTGCGCATTTTTCCGAGACTAGTCTGAACTTGCCTTGCAACAGCTATCCGTATCGAAACTTCTTGTGATTACCAAGTAATTTTCAGCTTTTAAAAGAAGCATGTGTTCAAAATCAAAGAAATAATATCCATTTTGTCTTTTAAAAATTATTCGATCGGTATGTTGTAAAGAAGTACTTTTTAGAAAGCCGTTTTATTATTCAAACATTAATGTTTCTTTCAACCTGATTTATTAATCCTGCCGAGAGACCCGGCCAGTAAAGTAGCTAGCTAGCAGCTGGCAACAACAACCCCATGCAGCGAACTGCTTTGCAACCCATATTTATATCAGCAGTTCGGATTGATTCAGGATGAGCTAGAATATGATTGGTAACAATTAAATACTTAAGTTTCAAGGTGGAATGATTTTAGTGGTGTGCAAAACTGCAATTTCTTACATATTTCATTATTTTTTTCGGAGCGTCGGTTCTCAAAAAACGAAACCGGGACCCGACGGCAACGGTCGGGTCCCGGTGTGATCGACCGTACCGACTCAAGCCTACTGTGTACAGTGCTTGCAACGTTACCAAGACTGGGCCAAATTTCTTATCATTTTGATGATTCCAGAACCTTGCAAATGCTAGATGCTAGATGATCAACCTTTACTGATCAATTCCACAACGTTTCTTTCACAATGCAATCGCATGACCAGAACTGGTCTATACATTTAAGAGATAACTAATCAAGAAGAAAGCAAAAACATTAGAGAAGCAGAATAGTGAAGTTTGAATGAAATCAGACAAAAAGTGAGAAAGTGCTGAAATGTTGAGAGTTGAAATCATGATAGACATAGACTCTGTGATGTAGTGGTGGAAAACTTTCCCATTTGCAACAAACAAAATGACTAAAATGTAATTTATTCAAAATGTATGAATCAGGAGAATCATTTCGTTTTTAGAGGACCTATAAATTATTTCATATCCATAATAAATTTTGAGTTGTGCCCCAAGGGAGAAGGAAATTAAAGGAGAAAAAAAAAATCAATATTTTTTTTACACGACAACGGGAGAGTTATACGCGTCTACATCATAATCCAGTGACCAAATTGCCAATTTGAGATTTGTATAGAATAGATTTAGTTACCTCATGTTTCAAACATTCATTACTATCTTATTATTGGTCCGATTAATTTCAAAATTTTGCCATGATTTTCAGACCCTTGTACCAAATGGTCATATGTTTTGTGCTGCGCAAAGATTCTATCAGTCAAATTTTTACCATAACAAGAATTGGGTTATTGATGTTACAAATACTCATGTACCCTTTACAGCTCATTTTATGTACCCCCCCCCCCCAAAAAAAAAAAATGTCAGTCAGTCTCTCGGTAGTGTCTGACAGTGAAGTCTACGAGACAGACTGGTTTCTTTGCAAAATTTGAATATACATGTAAGGACATGGCCAACGTTTAAATTTCACAGGAAGGACTATGTGACAAGTTTATAATTCTTGCAAAGTTCTACAGAATTTGATGTTGGCTGCAAATGGGACATACAGTAGTACCTTTAATATAGACCTCAGCAATTTCAAACACCACTTCAAGAATGTAATAAATCAGTTTTGTTACATGTACCTCTATTTCTAGTCAATTCCAAGCTCAAAATTATGTAGAAAAACCAAATAAACCACTGCTAATCAACTCAACTAAAAACCAAATCGACCGCAAAAATCTGTACAACATGTTTTGTCAATGTTTTTATAATTTCACACCTACATGTATCTAAGTAAATGTTGTGCCTAGGTTGATGCTATGTTTCTCTTTCCATCTGTAATATGGCTTGATTTTCAAAATCTTGTTCATAGTCATACTCAAAGTCTAAACTGTCAAAGAATAATATTAAAGGGCGTGTAGCTTGGCAAATACTGGTTAACGCCATCTACCGGTACATGTACGTCTTCTTTTGGACAACTGCACGTAAACGAATGGACTTGATTAACGATAGTCAGCAACTTAATCTCTACATGGTCAGCGTTCGCGAAACAGACCGACGTTCCCTTCACGATTCGGTTTTGCGCATTTTGCGTCGTCTGAAGTCATATTAAACCCAATTGGCGCCAATCAGGCCACGAGAAAGACACATACTAGTCTAGTCTTGTCAGGCTACACTCCCTTTAATTAAGCCTCGGGTCTGTCGGGGAGGAACTAGAAGTCTATGGTCTTTTTATGGACTATGGTCGCACCACCATACACATTAATGCTGCTACGACTTAATATTAATACGAGACAGACTAACCTTGAGCTTGAGACCGAGTGAGAGCTAGACCTAAAACGATATATGATATTCATATTTCACATTATCTAGCCCAAGGGCTTATGGAATATGGACTCCCAATCTCACAGTCACCAGTCACAGTCTGCAAGTCACAATCATCAATTCTCACAAACACAATTGATGTCACAAACTCACAAAAGTCACATTCTGTCATTCATCATTCATGAACAGATGAAAACAAGATCATGACTTTTCAATCATCAGATCATGTTAATTATACTTTTTCACTTACATTTGCTTAACATCAAGTGGAACAACCGACAGAAACCTGTTACAAAGTGTACATACCGCTTCTCAGTTGATCATGATCTTGCAATCCTTTTTTCGATGCAACTTATTAACTACAACATCATTGCCTCAATCAAAGTAGACAACGTCCCCACATATGTGCCTATGCGATGTCAACATACGGCACGGCTTGTAGTCCCGTTTGCATCTCATTTGTGTTGGTTTGCTGCGCAACCCATTAAATCGTCATCTACCCAAATCATCATCCCCTCCCACTCCAGTTCACCGGTCGTAGATGGCGGTAGACAATACTAAAAAGAGGGTGGTTCAAATCCGCTTTTGTATCGGGAAAAAATTTAAAAAGCTGATTTTTTTTAATCTTGATTATGGTGCCAAGGATTTACACGGTGGATCGGGCGTTATTTTACTCAGGGGAGGCTAGGGGGGGGGGGGGGGGGGATCTCTTACAAGCAAGACAAAAGTAAGAATAGGTTGAGGGATACCGCAAAAACGTTTTTATTATTGTTCTCCAGTATTTCCTAGGTATTTCCCAGTATTTGACAAGTCATGTCACCATCTGAAATTAGCATCATATATTTAAGATATATATGAATGTGCCTAATTTTTCTACAGTTCAATATCCACCAAAATATAAAAGTCTGCTAATTATGAGGCCAATTATATTATATAGAGTCGGGTAACAACAAATACTGGAGAACAGTATATTGATACATATAGGCCTACTAATGAAGTTACCCTGACCCTGCAACGGGGGGGGGGGGGGGGGGGTAATGAATAGTGAGTAATAATTTATTTTTTATTTCATTTTTTACTCAATACCCCTCCCCACCCCCCCCCCCCCCCCCACCCCTCGCCCCACCCCCACCCCCACCCCCTTCGCCAAAAATTAGATAAAAAGTTGTGGTTACCACGTTTGGCGGGAGGTTTTTCATAAACCGGGAGATTCTACATCAAAGCGGGAGAGCAGGAGGAAGGGCGTGGTGGCTGGAGTCTCCTACGAGCTGGTGGGACGGCGGGAAAATGAGCGTGGTGGCGTGAGACTCCCTCCAAATGCGGGAGGGTTAATGACAGCCCTGTAATAATCGGCCTTGATATAGACCAGGGCCAGGGAACAGGCGTCCCTGTAATGAGACGATCAGTGTGCTTTTAATTTCTTTTTAGGTTTCATTGCCGAGAATAAAACACTTTTTAATTCTTTATTAGACACAGTTTAGAAGTTTCCTCGCTAAAAAAAAAAAAAGAAGACTATAAATCTCTCATCAAGACCTGAAACTTAGTCGCAAGCGGCTAGCTGCAACCAAAAGTCCTAATTGATTAGAGCAGAATTAGGTATCACCTCCAAAATTAGGCGAATTTGAGAATTTGATTGGTGGAAAGTCCGGGGACATTTCGATTTTGACCATGCAGGTTCTTGGATTGTAGTCCCTCAATCGCTAGCCTAAGAAAATCAGGGTTGTCAACTTTGGGGAACTGCTTCGCGGGAGATCGTATGCAATTTTGTTTTGGCTCAACAGGGAAGGGGGGGGGGGGGGGGTGTGTGGTGTTGATTAAGAAAATTAAAAAAAAATAAAATCGAAGTGCTCACTACCCCCCCCCCCCCCCCGGAGGGTTGACAGCCCTGAGAAAATTGATGAAGAGAGTTTACAAAATAATTTTACATACATAATACATCCTGATATACTTTGACATAGAAATTCTTCAGAAGAGAGAGATTTTTGTATTAAATTTGATTACATCACGAAAATGACATATTGAATTCAACAACGGGGGTAATATCAATTACAATGTTAACGCGCTTGAAAAGTTAATGTCAATATCATAATTATTATCTAAATCATGTTGTCTAGTCAACAGAATAATGGTGAAGGAGAGTCTACATGGTCTAGGAGATCGAGGATGGGGAAAAGAAGAAGAAAGGGGATGAGGAAAAAACACTGGAGAAGAAGAAGTGATACGAGGGACAAGATATAAAAGACTGTTGAAAGTGTGGGCGATTTGGTTTATCAATATTATCAACAACAAATCACGAAACGTTCCTGTACCTTCTTTTTCTTTACCTTTACGATTTTCCCTGGCTATCTCTTCGACGATACCGTACACTCAAAAGTGAAATTTCGCTTCGAAACTATCGAACCAACTCGAGCATCGATGGCATCATCATGTATCTTTACTTGAATCCCGTGAAGGAGAAGATTCCTATCTTTTTACCATTGTTTGCTAAGAGAATTTGGGGATCAAATTCACTATATGTTTGTCGATATGTGTCAAGTACTTCGGACGGGGAGCCCAAGGCCAAGACCAGGGTAAGAAGTGTGTCCCATACGCTCATTTCCATGTTGGTGGTGTAGTGTTTTGACTTTTGTACACGGTATGAATGCAGGAATTTATTTGGGTCACAAGCCATTCAACCATTTATCTTACAGTCTTACACCATCGTAATTTGAAAATGTGATTGTGACACTAATTCACTCTAATTCTAAAAGAATTATGATATGGTCCGAGCGTGCTAATGAGGATTGTCCCCATAAACAAGGATAGAGTTAGGGTGTCTGAACAATTTTTCAATTTTCAATTTGGGATCGTTTTTCACCATTTTTGTTTGATATTTGAATAAAAAATGTTATCAGAATAATACATTTCAAATTTCAAGTCTCACCTACGTTTCTATCAAAAGTTACAGCCCCTCCAAAACGCTGGTATATTCATATCATTTTGGTCAAAATCGACGAAAAAGACGTCCACGCAGAGTGATGTTGTTTTGCTAAATTTAGCCAAACATCTATATCGCGCGATATGCAAGCTACGCTACGCTGTCTCCGCGACATGTGCCATTGACTAGTATGGTTGGCGTTCGTCGCACAATAAACCCGGAAGTGAATGCACGTTATAGTCAATGGCAACATCGCGGAGATGTCTCCGCGATATTGCCATTGACTATAACGTGTATTCACTTCCGGGTTCTATGCCGCGAATGGCCACCCATACTTGAATTTGGGGTTTCGTTTGTACGCGGAGATGTTACGCGATGTAACCATGGTTTGGACTGAGCGGAGCGCATGCCCCCTAATTAGCTGATCCACCAAATAGCGAGAAGGGTATTTTTAAACTGTTATCAGTTGTGATCCCAGGGGGCTAGCGAAATAATAAGCACATAGAATTTTTCCTTAGGACTGGGACTACTTATCGATCGGGGCGTCATATCTCAAAAGTGACAAACCTCAGAGTTAGCCAGGACACAATGTTTCAATTGCTGTTTTGACCAAGATATTTTTAGAATTTCGGGGGCTACGCCCCTTTGGAAATATTGGAATTCACCTGCTCTTTCATATGACACCTCATTTATTGATTATCACCTTCAGGATCACAACAGATAAAGGTTTGAATCTCGAATTGAAAAAAAAAATTGATTTTTTTTGCATGGTCGCGCAATGCACGTAGACTGCATAGGGATGCGTGTAATCTCTATGGGAAGAATTTTAGCACACAACATCGGGTGCGCGATCAGACACCCTAATAGAGTCTAGGTCTAGTCTATTCTCGTATTAATAAAGCGTGTACAAAATGCGTCCTAAAAAATAAGATTTTTTTTTTTTTTTTTTTTTTGGCGCTTAGCGAGTTTCGGGTTCCTGATCCGCGCACTGGCAATGCGAAAAACGGATTCCGCGAAATAAAATACCCCCAGTTCACTGTCTACTTTATGGTTTGTCCGTCTTCCTGAGGATTTATCACTCATTATAAAATCTCTATACCGGTACTTAGTCAACGTGAAATGCATCAAGAAAATCATCGCGGAATCCGTTTTTCGCATCGATTTATCACTCATTATAAAATCTCTATACCGGTACTTAGTCAACGTGAAATGCATCAAGAAAATCATCGCGGAATCCGTTTTTCGCATCGCCAATGCGTGGATCGGAAATCAGAATCGTCAGCGAAAATGCAGACGATCTCTCCGCGTTTACGAAGACGATCCCCGTTTATGAGGACGATCCTTATTCTCGGACCAGCGCCCCTACTGCTCAGTCATAGTTTGTATATTTTTTTTTTCTAAGTATAATTTAGTATTAGATTCTATAATTATGTATCTAGTTTTAGAGTTCTACGTGTAGATCAAAAATGCCTATTTGAAAGAAATTAAATTTCCTCTCCTTAATTTTTCAGAGTTTGCCCACTTTGCAATCTGAACATTTGAGAGGAGATCACAGCAGCACCAGTGAACCTATCAGACTTGGGATATGTCGTCTAGCAAGTGGAAAGCTACAAGTCGTAAGCAGCGCATCTAACCAAGGTTTCCAGGAAAGAGGTGGTCGGTCCTGGAGTAAAACCAATCTAATTCAAAGAAGAGAGAGCTCTCTGATGTTTGCTACAGCAAGCAAGCCGTCAAGTCTCATTGTGTTCGAGAATGCAGAGAATGGCTCTGAAGATAAACATGCTTCCACATGCTCTCTTAACACGGACATTAACTGCAACAGAGCAGAACAGTCGTCCAACACTGATCATGAAGAGCTCCCTCTACTGTTCTCGCTTGACAAGAGCAACTACGAAGAAGCCCTGAACACTATTGGTGCAGCCAGAGATGCAGGGAGTCTGTGCCAGTCTGCAGCCGCCCAACTCAAAGACATATGCCACCATCTTCACATGGAAGATGCAATTTTGGCAGCTGCCAAGCCATGTGAAGACATAGTTGATGATATTATCATTAGAAAGAAATATTCTCACATTGGAACTTACAAACATGACTACTCTCTCTTCATTCAAGCTGGCGACTCAGGCAAGCAATCTGTCTCGCCAAAGGTCAACAGTGAAAAGCCAAATCCATCTGAAGCAAATCTTCCAGGACATCTAACACCCGGTTACAATCATTTATCCCCGTTAAAAGCAGATCAATCCACTTCTCAGCAGGTAGAAAGTTTATCTGTGCTATCTGGGAATGTGGGCATCGCAAATTATAATGAGGAGATGTTGCCGCTGCTTCAATGTGTAGGTGAGAATGAGCAGAATCCTGATGATCCTGCTTCATCAGATGGGCCTAGTAAGGAGCAGCTGGCTTACATGCACCTTCGTCTGTCAGAGGAAGTAAGTATGACTGGAATATTTCAGAGTATCATAATGTGTTTAAACCCTCATTTACATAACCCACGGTTTAAAAATTAACGCAAAATAAGCGTACCTTGCCTTGCGCGCGTCTAATATTGGACCTCTGACTTGTGTCGCGCTTATTTTGCGCTTATTTTAAACCATGGGTTATGTAAATGAGGGTTTAAACCATGGGTTAAATCTAAACCTTCTTTGTGAATTCGGGCCTCTGTGTTATGTCCCTGGATTCCTTTTACAGCTTGGTTTGAGTGTATTTTTATTTGAATGTTGTATGTAATAGTTGTTGCTACTTTGGGCAATATTGTATATTGTATGACTGAAATAATTCAATTTTTTTCTTCTCCATTTATTCTCTCAGATGCCAAGATTCTTTGAACAATCCCATGACTATGGATTGTATGCAGACACTGTTCATTTTGATAACCGCATCATGAAAGTCAGAACAAGGTAGGGCTACCTTTCTAGTCCTACATCAGTTTAAGATTCTGGTGACTTGATATTTGCTCCTGGGGGGTGTTTTACAAAGATCTTAAGTTGAACTTATCTCTAAGTTGGACTTAATATTATGGAAAGCCATCAGCATCTAAGAAAATATTGTGTAAAACTCATTTTAAAAGGCAGAAAATGTTGATTCAAATCATTAATATTTTTATTATCAAAGAGACTTCATGTTCTTGATGTGGGATTTATGAAAAGTCTAAAAAACTTGTATTTTTGCTTTTTGATATATTTTGTTTTAAGGCTACAAATGGCTCTCCATAATGTTTAAGTCCAACTTAGAGTTAATTGCAATGACGACCTTCGTCATTGCCTTGTTTTCGTTCACATTCTGCCCCATTAATATACTTATCCGTGTTTTCCTTATCCTTATCGTCAGGAAATCGCATTCGTTTTGCACGTAGTGTTTGTGATTCCTAGTTAGGTGCTTTCCTCATGTCCTTTTCCTTTCAAATTTCATAGGCATAGTCTCTAACATCTCATCAAGGTCACTACATTCTTCGATTTTGGAAATCACTCATGCATGACCGTCCAGGCGCCATCTTGTCTGTTTCTGGTCCATTTTAAGGCCTTTATATCTTCCTTCCTATCTCCACTATCCTAGATCCTACAAACTTCTAACAAATTCCTCTAGATAGTCTGAGAGATGTTCTTTCATCTGCGACGTATGACTTGACCTTCAAAATGCCATCTTCATACTCGAAATTCAAATCTAAAACCGACTCCGTCAAAAATCTCTCAAGTTCTTGAAAAATGGACCCCTAAATAAGCTAAAACTGCCATAACTTTCTCATATAGATTCCGTTTTGTATTTAAATCTCACAGTATCTTTATCTCATAATTGCACATAGCCATGCCAAATTTCACGCTCCAATGGCTTTGCACAACATAAATAGCGCCCTCTAAAGTTCTGGGAATTGGCTTTCTCTTTGTGGCCGTATCTCCATAATGGCTTGGCAAACCCGTACCCTTTTTTGGATTTAGATACTTGAAGATATGCTCTTTCCAGCCATATACAAAATTATATACCCTATCACTGACCAAATTTGAGAAAATTGCCCTCCAAATTCGCCATTTTCAAGAAAATTCCGAAATAACTTCAACTTGCTCTAAAATGGCGATCTTTATACCTACATCAATGAAACTTAGCAGACATATGTATCCATATACGTGACAACTGTCTGCCAAGTTTGGTAAATTTTAATAACGTCAGCGCAAAGTTATCGCCAAAAATGATGAATTTGCTATGCATTACGTAATAGCGCCTTTAATGCGTGCAGTACATTGCGTGCAGATGACAATGGTGTCAAACTGACCGCAATGAAGTGCCCTTTCGAATGATACCAAGTATGGTATATGTTTACACAGAAAATTGTGAGTAAATCGCATTTGAACAAGGGTCACTATACGAATTCCGCCCGATTATAACACTTATCGGCCATGACGTCATTTTTTTCAGACTACTTTTCGCCCCCTAAACATCCTTTTTTTTCCTTGAAAATTTGCAATGACATTCCGAGATGCAATACGCAGGGCACCTCGTGGCCGGATTTTTAAAATTGGTCAAGGGGGCCATTTAAGACGCCATTTTGTCCTTTAAATCTATTTTACATCACATGTTTCGATAGGATTATCATAGAAAAAAAAAGAGTAGTTTACAATAACGACCATGAAATTCTCTTTCCAATGATACCATATACGGCCCATAAAGAGACATAAAGAGAGAGAGAAAAAACAATTTAACTCCGGTCATAATACAGATCCTCTACGTTTTCCGCCCATGCATTACACGCATTGTCTATGGGGCAAATCGGGTTCACGCTTTTGACCCCTAGAACGATCTTGATTGCAATGACGAACATGCAACTAATCCCATTTGTTTTTGCACGCAGTGCTTGCGAGCCCTTTCTAGGTTCTTTCCCCTATCCCAATTTCTTTCAAACAGCGTAGGCATAGTCAATACCATCCCATCAAGGTCACTGTTGAGGCCTTTCTTTCGCCCTACCTGTCTCCAATATTACAGAAGCTAAAGACTTCGTACAAATTGCTCTGGATAGTCCGAGAGAAGCTCTTTCGTTCGACACGTAGAAACACGGCGTCATTGCACGCACATCGTTGTGACACGATTGCATTTCTAGTTTTGACTTAAGATCTTTGTGAAACACCCCCAGGCTTTATTATGTCAGAGGTGTAGGGTCATGATTAGGGTTGCAATTGGGTTGTACATTGAATATTTGATTTAATCTCAAAGACATTTTTTTCAATGCCTGCTGCTGTTTTTATTCTTGTCATTACTGTTCACAATATCCCTCAATTAATCTCTATAGTCCTCTGTCATATGTACTCTTAACCACCACTATTGGTGAATACATGATGAATGTTAAAAGTATGAGAACTCTCTGTTTGTATGAACTTGTCAGAGTCATATTCTCTCAATTTCAAATAGGCTCATACAAGTTCAGTGTGAAAGTGTATGGCATTGTGTGAATATGATCATATTGTTTAACACATCTCAAGGGATACAGAGATTCTTTTGTATTCTTTTTTATATATCCATTGCTCCTTGTTTTGTTTTTTTATACTCCCTTGTTATATTGACATCAAAGAACATTTGAAATCTTGCCTCAAAACCTACAATGTATTTTGGAAATGTGTAAATAGTCTGATTTCATCTGAGGATCATGCAACTTTGAATATTTTTTACTTTTAAACAGAAATATTGTGCCGTATGAATGTTGTGAATCATTATCACCACCACCATCATCATCATCATCATCATCATCATCATCAGCGTCACCCTCATCACCATCATCATCACCATCATCACCACCATCATCATCATCATCATCAACATCACCATCATCACCGTCATCATCACCATCATCACTGTCATCATCACCACCATTATCATCACCATCATCATTATCATCATCACCATCACCATCACCATCATCATCATCATCACCATCACCATCATCATCACCACCATCATCATCACCATCATCATCACCACCATTATCACCATTATAATCATCACCACCATCATCATCATCATCACCATCATCATCACCACCATCATCATCACCACCATTATCATCATTATCACCATCATCATCATCATCATCACCATCATCATCATCATCATCACCATCATCATCATCATCATCACCATCATCATCATCATCACCATCATCACCATCATCTTCATCGTCTATACACTGTTTGTATATTCTTGTTTATTTATTTTTAAAATCCAAACCACTGCTTAATACAGAGGTCTATCTGCCTACAAAGCCACTGTGCAGTCTTTGAAGTATCTGAGTACAGCCTGTCTGACCAACTCACAGATGGAGGTGCTTCGTATCACCATGGAAACCGAGCAGCATTACATCCAAGCAAGATGGCGTATCAAAGGAGTGCCCTTACACAGCTACATCTTAAGACCCTGGGGAAAGAAACACAAATATAGGTTAGTTTACTTTTTCATTTTGTTAATGAATTTTCAGGAATGTAACATGAATAAGAATAACTTGACATTGTTGGTACTTATATTAACTAAAAACCAAACAGTCAACTGCTTTGCTTCACCGTTACCTGTAGTAGCAATAGGTAATAGTCTTTGTTTTGAATATTTACTATCGGATTATAAGTTAAAGGTTTATTATACATGTAGTATCATATGTTTTTTAATTTATTACAGTATGTCATGATTAAATATTTTCACTTATTGTGTTACATGTATGTGTATTTATTATATTTTATAATAAAGTAAAATATTTTTATGTGTATTCACACTAAGTTAAAAAAAAATGTCTGTTGATGTTTTCTGTCATATTATTTAGTGCATATTCATATTATTTAGTGCATCTTCATATTATTTAGTGCATAGCAATACTATTGATATATTGCACAACTTATTGATAGAGAATATCTATGATTTTCCTACAGATACTTTGATGCATTTTCTACATTTCATGTTGGTAGTGATGGACTGATTCACAGCCATGTTCTAGATAAGGTAAGAAAACCAAAGATGACAAGGTGAATCAGGATGATAGTGCATAACAAAAGACTGAACAGGATTTAAAGTGACTTGGTAAAATTGCCTCAGATTCTGAAAGCTAGATTTGATAGCTAGTTTTTAGAGCGACAACTCCTGTTTTTCATAGCTTTAGATTTTGACTTTTCAGAGAGCTGATACTCCTTTGACAGACACTAAAATGGCATATGATTGATATTATCTTAATCTATGGCCTATAAGCTTTCCGTTGATATAAAATTCATCCATTTCATTTTTTTTAGTTTGGATATGGTCTTTAAGAATAACTTGTGATTAAACCCATCAGAGACATTTACTGAATGAAATGGAAACCATCAGCAACCGATTAAACCGAGTTGTGATGGATTCTTCTGTCTTTATACAGTAGGCTTGCGGTTGCACCATGTGAGAGAGAGGGAGGATTGAGGAGTCCTCAAAAAGGCTCTTGGTAATCTTTCTTGAGGGTGTGTAGTCCTGAAAAGGACTGTTGGTGTAGTCTTGAAAAAGACTGTTAGTTATCTGTCTTAGCTTATAGTTCCAAGGAGAACTATAGCGCCGGTTGGAGAGGATGGGTGGCGGGAGTGGCTCGACGTTTCAGATAGTTTAGATGGATAGACGACGGAAAGATTACTGAGAGTCCTGTTCAGGACTCCTCAATCCTCCCTCTCTCGTACATGGTGCAACCGCAAGCCTACTGTATATCTGATCACTAAGCAAGCCGATACTTACAAGCAGCATCTTCTGTCTTTGTTGTTTAGGTGATGCCAAGTTCTGAGGGCAAGGTCGTTGCAGCGTCATGGGCAGTTAGATTAGGAATCATGATGGGTTTAATAAGACCACCAGCCTTTGAACCAGACATCATGAAGGCCATCACTCACATGAAGTCACTTCTTGGCAAGTAGCAAGTCTTGGCAGGATCATCAGCCCATGAAATACCGGTAGACATCATGAAAGCAAGTCCTTTCTTGGCAAGTAGCAAGTCTTGGCAGGATCATCAGCCCTTCAAATAGATATCATCCTGAAAGCAAGTCCTTTCTTGGCAAGTCATTGAAGAGAGAGGCATTGCGAAAATCATCCCTTATTTGAAGTTACTTCCTGGAAAAAAACTTTTGGAAAAAAAAAATCATCATTTATGACACAGATTGAAGCTAGTATTCCTATGAAATCCGTTCTTGGCAAGTAGCTGTCATCAGGGATGCCAGTTTTCAGGCCCTTGCACGTTATTTTCAGACCATAGTTCAGGCTTTTTTGTGTACAAAATAGCTCATTCTAGGTGACTTTCAGGCCCTCTGATCAATTCTAACTGGCATCCCTGTGTCATTAATCAGCCTTTGAGACTTATATCGTGAAAGCCAACACTCACATGAATTTCCCTAATTGGCAAGTAAGAAAATCAGCCTTCAAGACAGACATCATGAAAGCCATCACTGTTATGTATGAATTCCTTTCTTTCTTGGCCAGTAAGTATCATGAAATCAGCCCTTGAGACAGACATTATCATGATCATGAAAGCTATTAATTATGTGAGGTTCCTTCTTGGCAATTAACTGTTGTGTAGTGACAACCAACCATCAAGACCGACAAAATGAATCCTATCACTCACGAGTCATATAAAGTCCCTTGTTGGCTAACAGCTATCATGAACTGGGGCCTGTTTCACAAAACTTGTTATCTATAACAAATGCTACATTTTCTATGATAAATTTGCTCTCAGCCACTCAGATGCCATGATTTCAGTAGCTTATAACAGTAGCTTGTAACTTGTTATCGATATCAAGTTTTATGAAACGGGGTCCCGATCCTCGCCAACTCAGAGAGACGTGAGAACTATCACTCAATTACTTGAATATACTTGTTGTTGTGAAGCTGTTATGAAATCAGCCTTCGAGACTGGTATCGGGAAAGCTGTATGTCTCTTGAAATCCCCTCTTGGCAAGTAGGTCTTTTGAATGGACCAGCATCCCTCGAGTCTGGACCCTGTTTCATAAAACTTGATATCAATAACAAGTTACAAGCTATTTTTATAAGCTACTGAAATCATGGCATCTGATTGGCCGAGAGCAAATTTGTCATAGAAATTTAGCATTTGTTATAGATGACAAGTTTTATGAAATAGGCCCCTGGTGCCATGACAGTATTTCTTTTGCAAGTACATGTATCTGTAATTATACAACTGACTGATTTCATTTTTTCCATCAAATATAAGTACATTCACATTATTTGATATTCATGAGAGAAAAGAAATAGATTTACCTTGACAGGATGGCTCGGTGTAAAAATGTCAGAGGAAAAAATGTCAGAGGTAAAAATGTCAGAGGTAAAAATGTCAGAGGAAAAAATGTCAGAGGTAAAAATGTCAGAGGTAAAAATGTCAGAGGTAAAAATGTCAGCGGAAAAATTGTCAGAGGTAAAGATGTCAGAGGTAAAAATGTCAGAGGTAAATATGTCAGAGGAAAAAATTTCAGAGGTAAAAATGTCAGAGGTAAAAATGTTAGAGGTAAGATATATAAAAAAGCATGTTGCAGGTTGAATATTGGTAATGTTTGTATATTAGGCTTATCGAAAAGATATAACGAAGGATGCTCTGCAGTCATTAATTTCAGTGCTGCTTTATTTTCTTCTTTCTGTAACTTTTATTTACCTTTCTGCCAGAAATTGGGACTTTCTGCCCGATTATTGCCGAGGGGAGACGGGGGGGGGGGGGGGGGGACTGTATCCTTCTTTTGGGGGCATAGTGACCCGGCTGCCTCCCCCTCATATGCCTTTGTCTAAGCAAGTGATACTGGTACACTGAGCAAACTTCTGGGAAAACAGAATGCATAAAATCGAGTAGTTTGGTCATTAATAATTATAGGCCGAGTTGTGGTTCGATGGTGTAATCATTAAATAAAAAGAAAAGTCATCACAGCCCCCCCCCCAAAAAAAGAGGATAAGATATCACGCTGTGAGTCCTCCGCCCCCACTTCACCGTCCCTTCTGAAGATTGATGGACATTATAAAACGTGGCAATGACTACTATAAAATGTAATTTCCTACAAATGCATATTTCCAACAATTTCACTTTCTTGTGGGCTTGATACTTTGATACCTTGATACAAAGCAGAAAGCCGCCCATGTTACATCTAAAGCTAACCGCACCATCACATTCCAGAGAAGCGCGCGCTTTGCAAAGAGTTAATCGTCGATCACTATTGCGGTATAAATAGTCTGGGAGAACATCAATAAGCAGCTTTGATACTCTGATACAAAGCAGAAAGCCGCCAATGTTACATCAAATGCTAACCGCACCATCACATTCCAGATAAGCGCGCGCTCTGCAGAGGTTCTGTTTAAGCTACATCGTTCTATAATTATTTGCTGTGAGAGATCAAACTCTGAAATTGACAAATATTAATTCATGAGTAACATATCAGAAACATATTTTTACTGTACACATTTATAGCATCATGATCAAGGGCGTCAATCCGAGTTTGAGCATGGGGGGGGGGGGGGGCACAATTACATGTCACCTTTACAGTTACTTTCAAAATTATACCACGTTATGTTGCTACACACACACTCTCTCTCCAGTTATTCTGTTTCACGGCATGTACTTTCATTGGTGACCGGTTCAATTATTTTTTAATTTTTTATCTTTGACGTTTCATTACATTTTTAAAGAAAGAAGTCCCCCCCCCCTCCCGCGCGAAGTGCGGAAGCTTTGACCTTTCATTAAATTATTACAAAAAGAAGACGATTCGTTGTACCGTTCTTGACTCTTAATCCCTGTTTGAATTCAGTTTTCCCCCTCCCGCGCGTAGCGCGGAAGCTGTGACGTTTCATTTAATTATTAGAGAAAGAAGACGATTTGTTGTACCGTTCTCGACTCTTAATCCCTGTTTCATTACATTTTTAAAGAAAGAAGACGTTTAGTAGTACCGTTGTCGACTATTAATCCTTGTTTGAATAAAGTCCCCCCCCCCTCTCAAGCGGAACCTGTGACGTTTTATTTGATTATCAGAGAAAGAAGACGATTCGTTGAACCGTTCTCGACTCTTAATCCTTGTTTGAATTCAGTCCCCCCCCCCCCCACCCTCCCACGCGGAAGCTTTGACGTTACATTAAATTATTAAAGAACTTCTTTTCTGACAAAACATGGGGGGGGGGGGGACATTTCACCACCTGAAAATTCGTGGGGGGACGTGTCCCCCCGTCCTCCCCCCTCCCCCAGGATTGACGCCCTGATCATGATACTGCTTGTATACATGATAATATTGTTTGAAGGATATTTGGTGCAGGATTTATAAAAGGTGTGCTGGCATACACTGTATACGACAGTTTCCAGCAGGGACATATTCGTACAAGTCTACACATTAAACAAAATGTATCATGAATTTGACAGAACAAAAACAGTTGAAATTGAGGACCTATACTGTATTTCTCCCACGTTTCTTAATACATGATTTTTTTTAAATATAAAGTTACGCAGTGTTATGGCCGAAACTCGAAAGCACATGACGACAAACTACCTGGGTAGATATGTCTCAACGTTTACCACTTGTAGGCCTACTATCTGACATTCTTCAAGCGAAGCTTTGATATTGTTTGTTAAACTTTTGTAATAAAGTATTGATTGAGGGGGACAAAGCATCCGTGTCTTTTTATTAATGTTTTCTTGTCATAACAGTCTTTGCTGGGATGGACATGAAGATGGGTCTAATTACTGAATTTGTGTAATTTCTGTGCGATCTTTATAACTGATTTCCTGTTGTATTTCATTCAATCTTAATATTCTATGTACTTAGGCCTACTTCCTCAAAACCAAATAAACATTAAAACATCAACCAATTTAAAATATCGAAAAATGATAGAAATTAATATATGCAAACCTGATCACAAAATATAAGTTTCAAAATTATTTTCCACATTGTATTATCCTCAGGACATGTACGAAGTACAATACACAGTCATTTATAAAATATAATAGACTAGCCCAGTAGCTTACGTCTCGACATTTTGTGTGATAAATTGCTGAGATATTATGATGGCGCCAATTTTTCCCCCTACATTTTTTTTTGTACCTGACATCTTTTGGGATCTCTGACATTTTTACCTCTGACATTTTTACCTCTGACATTTTTTCCTCTGACATTTTTACCTCTGACATTTTTCCTCTGACATTTTTCCTCTGACATTTGTTTGGTATCTCTGACATTTTTACCTCTAACATTTTTTCCTCTGACATTTTTACCTCTGACATTTTTACCTCTGACATTTTTACCTCTGACATTTTTACCTCTGACATTTTTTCCTCTGACATTTTTACCTCTGGCATTTTTACCTCTGACATTTTTACCTGGCACCGACAGGATAACTCATGAAACCGGTTATTAGCCTAATTAAAGCCCCACTGCACTACTTATTAGCTACTTGCGCCCTCTATATAGCATCTTCTATATTTTCGTAACTCCTGGGTTTTAACAAAACAATCTACAAATGAGTATTCATTATCCGACATATATATGCTCAGGAATTTCCCTATAAGTGTATATGGCTTTAGTTCTTCTTAGAAGTGATATACAAGTACATTTATTTATACAGAATTTATATATATACTTTATTATACATTGATTCATTTTGATTTTGCTGTTATGATTGCTGTTGGAGCCTTTTGGGTGATCATGTTATTTGGTGCTTGCAAATCGGGTTGACATGGTTTTTCTTCCGGCACATACAGCAAGCAATGTATGCTTGTCAATATGTGTGAAACATTTTAACTGTGGCGTTTATTATACAAGCATTATGCAGTCTTTAACCGGTTTGGTTTTATTTGATTTTAGCGAGATATGCATATATGTGTATGAATGCATGGAGTTCACCATGTGGATGTACCTCTGGTATTTTTAAAGCTGTTAGCCACTTCCAAATATGTTTCATAATCATTTTTGTTGAAATATAAGAACTATATGTAGTAGGCAACATCAAATTAAAAGCCTGATGTAAACCTTTCATCCATCATTAACGCTAAAAAGGAAAATTATTTTCTAATTTGTTTGATGTTTGTTTAACATGACTGCCAAGAAAGCATGTGTATGCTTGTAAGTAAGCAACCAGGGGACGACGGCTTTAAGTCCTCTCCGAGAGACTTGGTAATGAAGATTAATGCCTTATCAAAGGGCATGAACACATGGACTTGGTTTCGAACAGGGGACCTCCCGGTTACAAGACCACTGCTCTACAACTGAGCGCACTCTCAAACCTTATCTTTTGAGATGATTGCTATATCCATTGATTTTCTATTCTTGAAGTGACATGGACTTGAAGTCCATGGACAATGTATAACATTGTAAAGCGCCTTGAAGTATATATGTAATACACATTATCATTGTTAAATGCTCATATAATAAGTATTAAGATTATATATATATATATATATATATATATATATATATATATATATATATATATGTATTTGGGTGTCTGTAATTTAGTTTATTTTGCTTGACTGGTAAATGTTATTGAAGATGTTTATATGAAGAAAAAGTCAGAGTATGCATAAGTAATATCTCATTACAATTTGAAACTTTGTATGTATACATGTCATGTATAATATCAATGTCATTCTGATCCATATTAAAACAATGCGAAGTACATTTGGGATAATGACTGATTTATAAATAACATTGTAGTCATAACAAAATGAAATAATTGTTGAACAAGCAATATTGTTTGAATTGGCTTGTTCAATTAGAGATCAAGGGCATTAGGTGAAAAGTTGGTTTATGTACAATCAAAGTTTCAAACCTGTATATAAAGACCACCCAAGGGGAACATGAAAAGTGGTCTTTATGTACAGGTTCCAATGATAAACCATATTCAAGGGAAACAAAAAGATGCGGTCTTTGTAGACAGGTGGTAGCATTCCTCACAGCCAGAGGAACAACTGTCGACAATGGAGATTACTACCTAACAAAAAACTGATTTGAATAAATGAAAAGTCAGTGTTTGTTGGTGATTCAGTTCGAGCAATATCTGATACAGGATCAGAAAGTTATGATGTAAAGGAAAAGAAATGTTTATTATGATGGTCTTTCCTTCAACAATTGAACCTAGCAAAATGATATGCTGTCTGCAGAACATCTGTAGATATTTGCCAGAAAATGAAAATAACCAAAAATGTCTAATTTGCGACTTCCAAATATTCAGTCCATACTTGAACTTTGTGATTTGTTTTCATGTTTGTAATAATGCATTTGTAAACTCAAAGAGCTAAAATGTCACTCTGAAATGGACACACCCACACGCTACTAGTCCTACTCTAGAAACTTGTTTATCACTTATAATATCATTGATAAACAAGTTTCTAATTTACACTTTACTTCTCATTTGTTTACCAAAAAATATATAGTTTGAATCGAGGGGTCAGTGTCACAAAGACGTAACTCCATTTTGGCCATTTTGAGAAAAAGTGGTTTATGTGTCACTGAGCACTTAAGCCGTAAGGAGTTAAGTCTATGTTTCACTAGCCATTGACTTCAATGGGGTGTTGGGTGGAGTGAAGTCTTTGTGTTCCCTGGAAAGCCCACATTTTTCTGAACATTCTTATATCAAATACTCATTTTGGCATAATAGGGAGTTACTTCTTTGTGTCACTGCACCCTAGGAATGTCAGGAAAGCTACTTGCAAGAGAGTCCTCATCAAAGAATTCCTGATGTAACTCCCAAAGCTTGAAATCGTATTTGTGATGCAGAGGGATACCAAGGGAAGGATACTGAACACAGCCACAAGCATATAATGTGTCTGTATTTGAAGAGTTTAGTTCCAAATATTCCAATTTTTTTGAAAGACAGATACTCAAGTGACCAATGTTCTGATATCAATAACTCAATTTTCATCAAAGGTGGATTTAAGAGCCCCTTTTGGAATTAGGCTCTTCATTTGTAGAAGTGTCGTAGTCGAGAGGTTTATATAACTTGACTGAAACTTTAAAAGTCATGGGTTCAAGCCCGGGCATGTTACTTATGTACTTGAGCAAGGCATTTAATCTGCATTACTCTTCTCCACCCAGGTGCTTAATGGGTACCTGATAGAATATGTCAGCTAGTGACTGGATTAGCAAGTTCGTATGCATAAAAAGAAAAGGCAACTAGCTGGAATGCTTCCCAGGGAGCGGAGAATGTTCACTGTAGTGTGTGGAATAGTAATTGGATCCAGTGACAGGGGGTACTAAGTGCTCTGGCCAGTTGTAGCTGGTAAATCACTTTTTAAGAAGCAGTATTCTTGTTATTCATTTTCAGATTTTGCTTTATCCCCAACATGGCTGTCTCGTTCGTGATACGGGGGATTCAAAGTCTTACTCGACAGATTCATTTTGTCAGCGTCTATCTAAAAAAGAAACAAAATATGAAGCTGTGCCCACTGATCTGGCCATTATTAATAGCATCGTTTTATGCCTTCATAGGTTTACGTACAAAAACTGTATCTCGATCCGTGACTTGGTCTATGGAATAAACAGTTTGATCTCCATGATCTTCAAGGGATTCAGTGTTAAAGATCTGTTTTCATTCATAAGTATAGATCGTGCATGCATGTCGGTGATGGTAAACACTTGGGAGTTGCAGCAAAAATGATTTCTTTTAACCCATTTTCATGGAAACCAGTTGTTCCCTGTGTTTATATCCTGTTAGAATGAGAAAATTCAGTAGTCATCGGGTTTGAAAAACCACTGATATATATTCTTGATGGATGGTGCAGTGGAGTTGAAGACAGCACACAATTTGCATTGTATGTGTGTATCAGTCACAGTGATCAATGTGAATGTTGTGATTGTGCTCTTTTGTAGAAGTGTGTGATTATATGTTTATTTAGAGGGGAAACATTGATGGAAATTTAAAAGTAACAAATAAATAGATGTTATCATGAATAGTATCATATGATTGTTTGCTTGTGTTTATTTTCGTCACTGTTCCTTAAGTCCATACTGCAATGGCATGACATTAAATTAGAATTGAAGGGAGAGAGAGAGAGCAGAAATGAATAGTAGCACATGATTATATGCTTGTGTTTATTTTCCTCATATATGTCACTGTTCCTTAAGTCCATACCAATAGATCTGCAATGGCATGACATTTAAATTAGAATTGAAGAGAGAGAGCGAGAGAGCGAGAGCAGAAATAGTAATATTAAATAGATGTTATTATGAATAGTAGCACATGATTGTTTGCTTGTGTTTATTTTCTTCATATATATATATATATATATATATATATATATATGTCACTGTTCCTTAAGTCCATACCAATAGATCTGCTGATAAGTTGTCATGACATTAAATTAGAATTGAAGAGAGAGAGAGAGAGAGAGAGAGCTAGAGAGAGAGAGAGAGAGAGAGACCGAGAGAGAGAGAGAGAGAGAAAGAGATAGAGAGAGAGGGTAGGAGTTGGTGTCATAGTTTAATAAATTTGATGCGGTCCTTGTGCTTTGGAAATCGCCGCAATAACCTCTAGAACATATTTCAAGAAGAACAAGGTTGTTGCTTTAAAAAAAAATGAATTTACAGGTGTGCCGTGTGCGAAACATTTTGATTTTTGTTCATTAATATATTATTGTCTAGACCTACTATGATATATCAATAAAGGTAATTAATTAGCATTTTAGTCCTGTGGGTCACAATGGGTGTATAGTAGACCGAAAGCTTCAGTCTCTGATATCGACTGTTGCTCCTCTGATGGGGATTGATGTTGACAAATATCAGTTTTATTAAAGAATGACCCATACCTGATGGTTCTGTCTAGGTGTATATAGTAGCACATGATACTGGAACCGAGCTGTCTAGGATAGTCCAAACAAAGTTGTTCTGCCGTCTTCCCTTTAGCTTAGTAATGAAATTATCTTTTGATTTGGACATTCTATGCCTACCGTGCACAATTTACTTTCTTATTACTCAGGCGAAATTAAAACAATGCAAATGTTATGATGGCAAAGGGTCATAAAATGGACAAAGACAAATAGACCTAAATTAATTGAGGAAGACGTACTAGAAATAAAGGGGACATAATTTTTTTTTTTAAACTGCCGATTTGTACGTCAAAGATACCGTAGAAAATTTAGGTATAACTGTCTGCTATGTTTACAAAACAGCTACCTCGGCACATGCACAGTACACGCACGAACGAAACGGCACTATAATCTACCGGGCGCCACCGGGCAAGTCAAAGGGAGGTGTAGACCCTCGGCCTCCTGATCTCTCACCCACAGCTCAGCTAGAACTCACGCCGCCAGTCACGGCTTCCGTTCGTATCGGTACTCGTACTAGATCGAGTCTAATCGTACTAGGCATCGGGCGCGGTGATTCACTGATTGTTTTGGTGCTGGAAAGTTGACGTGAAGGCTGAAGGTATACGTATAGGCCTAGAGTCTAGAATAGACTAGATCTAGGTCGATGCTTTAATGATTTTGACTGCACACTGTTTCAAGTTCAGAATCAGATGTTATTTGTTAATCATTTACCCTGAAAGTGTGGTGGTTTTTTGATCAGGGCCATATTTAGGCCATTAACTTTTTTTTTTTAAGTTTAAGGGATTTGCGTTGGTTTATCACAAACAAATCTCGAAAAATGTTTGTAGGATTCACTTCAAATCTTCATTCAAAAAGTAGACTATGTTGATGTGCTCTTCTACTTTTCTAGCCCTTTTCAATTTGATATATCTATCTTTATATGACACCAAATTCAATGCAGTTGGACATGCATGTAATTTTGACATGAATGAATTAACCCCCTAATATTAGGCCTACAAGTAGGCCTATGTCATGTGCAGCTGCAGCTAACCTTCAGGAGAACTAAATGCCTGGTTCTGGTTCTGGATTTGTACTCCGACAAAGCGGGATCCCGCATCTTGTAATTGACCTTTAATCTTTAATGCCCCTTGGCCTTAATCCATCTTGTTTCAGATTGATCATATGAACATAGGATATTGACCAACGACAACATGCCAGGCGATGCCGATGAGATCCTTCCGCGCCTGTGGCTTGGCGACCTGCAAGCTGCAGAGTCGGAACGCTTCCTTAATGACCGCAAGATCAGCCACGTTCTGAGTCTGATCAACATGCCCATCACCGTACCCTCCGAGGTCGCTGTCAATCATAAACAAATCATCATCAGAGATCAGCCGGGTGAAGATTTGCTGACACATCTGGAGGACATCCTGGCTTTTATGGAGGATGGTCTTGATCCAGCTAAAGAGGGTAGTGTGCTTGTCCATTGGTAATTAAGGCACAGACGCCATTTGTCCGTACATCTAGAGAATTGGTTGAAGTGCAGTGGTGATGGTTAATATCTCATACATTTCAATTTTGAGCACAAGAACTGTTTGAAGATGTAGTTTGTAAGAAATACACTGCTTATTAATACACACACATGGTTGCATCAACATCAAGACCAAGTAGGGATTCCAAGAGACTTTGTTTATAAATTGAGATTTATCCTTTTTATTTTAAACTGAATGTTGATGCATCCAAATGATTATTAATAAGGCCGATGAAAGTTGATCTCATGGTTCTCGTCAGCGCCCGCATCAAATTTTGCTCGCGCACCAAAAAAGTTCAACACTCATCGCTGACGAAATTCCCGCGTCAAAAAGTCCAGATATGAAATTGCCGCCTCAAAAAATCAACAATATTTTCGATTGGCTGCCGCGCGTGGCCCATGTGACACGCGTCCATGGCGATGTCTGCCAAGTCGATCGCTGATTGGTCTAAAGTAGCGGGCGGCATAATATGCCGCCCGCTACTTTAGCTGCCTATCGCGTAGGCCAGGAATAGTCTGCGGCTAGACACGGGGCGAATGTTTTGCCTCACGCCGTACTCCGGCTTCCCGCTACCGTACCGGGTGGGAGCCAACGCGTATTAAACTGTTCAGTGCATTGTGTACGTTGCCCAATATACTAGATAATAATTAGAAGAAAGTTAAGATACCTACTTACAATAAAAGAATATGAAGGAAAGTACTTGTGAGAAGATAGAAGAAGAAGAACAAGAAGAAGAACAAGCAAGAAGAAAGAGCAGAAGAACAAATAATAAGAAGCAGACTGAAGACGAACAAAGAAAGATGTATATCGCTATATCATCAAGTTCATAATTTAATACCAGTATAATAAAACAGGGCCTTAAGTTTAAGTCAGAAACGAGACAGTATAAATGAAAATGAAATGAAATGAAGATGGTGTCACAGAAACCCAAATATCACAGAAAATTTGGAAGAAATAGTCATTGGAGTATGATATTGGTGTAAGAGCGTTACATGTATAATGTACAAGACTCGATACCCTCCACAAGTTCTATTGGTTTGTATATGAAAGATGAATTTGGATCAAAATCCCTCATTCAAATTCCAAATATGCCCGCGAGAACATGAAATCAAAGTCAGATGAAAGATGAAAGTTGATCTAAATCCCTCATCAAAATCTCAACAATGCCTGACGAGAACCATGAGATCAACTTTCATCGGCCTAAAGGGTATAATTTCTCTGAGAGCTGATCCGAGATTAGACCAAAAGCTTCAGTCTCTCTATACCGTCGGTTGTTCCACTGAGACTACGTCTGGCTCCACTAATGGGGAATGTCAACAAATATCAGTTTTATTAAAGAAATGACCCATATCAGACGGTTATTTCTGTCTAATTCAAGATATGCTCCTGCGACAGTTGCTTTGGGCTTTCTTTCATCAATTGTTTAGAGATAGGGTTAGAGTTAGGTGTTAAGTTAAGGTTAGTGTGAGCTGTTACGATTAGTCTCTAAGGTAAATTGTTAGGTCGGGGGTTGATAGTAAGAAATTGGTTGGTAGGATATTAAGTGCAGATCAATTGTAACAGGAGCATGTGTTGTACATTGTACATCCCTATATAAAGATCAAAGCCCACACCGATTTAGACTAGAGTAGCGCAAGTCAGCACGTATAACTATAGGACACTGTTGTACAACATGGCTGTAGTTTATCTTTTGATATATATTTTTTTAATTGTCACTATGCAGTGCTATGGGGGTATCAAGGAGCTCATCTGCAGTTATAGCTTACATCATGTACAAAGAGAAATGCCCTCTTGTGACAGCTCTGAAAAAGGTTGTCGACAAACATTCACAAACGTGGTAAGTTTCCAGAGAAGGTACCTTTTTTTAATGTTTAATTGTTAGTTACATACCAGTTTCTTCTGTCTAAAAATGGCTGGAAATTGTGTTTTTACATTTAAAATACCTAAACCTAGATTGTGTGCTGTTAATCTGTAGGACCCTTGCTCCAATTCTCTGAACTTGTGGAAGCTGGACTGAAGTCTAATCGTTTCCTTTGTGTTGAACACGTCTTTGATCCAGAGTGCTGTTTGACAATATTAGTAGATCATTTCATTCCATTCCATTCCATTCTATGAGAAAAGGAGATAGGGAGAGACAGTTCAGTTCAGTTCAGTTCAGTTCAGTTTATTGAATTCCATCTTTAAAAACATTTTTACAAAGTAAAAACATACAATTTCATGTACAATATAATACATAAATTGGGATAGTTTATACATGTGAAATGAATTAATACAAAATAGAATAAGGCACAGCTGTAAAAAAACCAAGAAAAGGTTTTGTCTGGACAGCTTCCTATCAAATTAGATATAATAAACATAGTAAGAAAACAAGTAGCGAGTAAAGTTTCGGATAATATCATTCAGAAATTGCATAACAACCGGCACAAACCCAGTACATGATATACAACATGGTAGGATGAAAAAGTGAGAAGATAGCAAAGGGGAAGAAAGAAAGAGAGAGAGAGAGAGTGAAAGAGAGAGGGGTAACAAGCTAGATAAATACATTCAATGAGAGTCATGCGCAATCAAGAAACTTTTGAGATTACGTTTAAAACTGTTGTGAAATGAGATTGAAGTTATATTAGTTGGAAGCAAGTTCCAAATTTCAGGTGCATGATGTCTGCAAGAATATGATGCAAAATTTGTATTAACACACCATCGGTGATATTTCTTTTTATTTCTAGTATTATGGTTATGTATTGTACTGTTTGTTATAAACATATCGGATAACTTTTCAGGAAGCAGACTTTTTTCCTTCTTAAATATAAGTATAGCACACAAATATTCATTTAACTGGTATACATTCAATATATTAAGTTGTTTAAAAAGTGGCCTTGAATGAGATTGATAATGAGATAGCGTTATATTTCTTACAACCCTCTTTTGTAGAATATATAAACGATGCAGTTTGGTTGGGTATGTGTTTGCCCAAACAATGTTGCAATAACTAAGAAACGGTAATATAAGTGTATTGTATAACATAAGAAGAACAGATTGAGGCAAAGTATGGCGGAGTTTGCTGATGACACCAGTATTCCGTGACATTATCTTATTAATATGGGATATATGTGTTTTCCAGGATAAGCTTTCGTCAATAAAAATACCCAAGAACTTGGTATTAGCAACACGATTAAGAAAATTATCATCCATTTTTATTTGATATGAATTGAGGAGCTCTGTAGAAACCGGTTTATATTTGGAATGAAAATATATAAAATTTGACTTTCCAGCATTCAAGATTAATTTATTGCATTTAAACCAATTCGATACTTTCCGCAATTCAATATTTAACGTGCTATATAAAGATCCAATGTCATTTGAGGTGTAGAGGATATTGGTGTCATCAGCAAAAAGAATGAATTTTAATTTATCAGAACAATATGGAAGGTCATTAATATAAAGTAAAAACAGAAGGGGCCCCAGGATTGACCCCTGGGGCACACCACATGAGATTTCCGAATAATCAGATAAAACACCATTAAATGATACACATTGAGTTCTATTATGTAAATAACTTTTGAACCAGAGGAGTGGTAAACCTCTTATCCCATAACAGGCAAGTTTGGATAATAATATAGAAAAATCAATTGTATCAAATGCCTTGCTTAAATCTAAGAAAACACCAATAACATGCAATTTTTTATTAAATACACTAATTAAATAATCTTGAAGATCAATAACAGCCATTTCTGTCGACACATGCTTTAAAAAACCATACTGACTATCATTCAAAATAGAATTTGTGCATAAATAGCTATATGTACGATTATAGACGAGCCTTTCTAAGATTTTTGAAAAATAAGGAAGTATAGATATAGGCCTATAATTATCAACATTATGAATATCACTTTTTTTATGAACAGGTACAACTTTTGCAATTTTCAATCTAGAGGGAACAACTCCAGTAGAAATCGATAAATTGAAAATATAACACAATGGTGTAACAATATAGTGTATTACATTCTTTATGACATCAGGATTGAATTCATCAATGCCACAACTATTTGTACAATTCAATTTCTTTACTACATCAATAATTTCATTTTCAGATACAGCTTTAAAATATACAGAATTGGAATTTTGCTTTGGTAAAAATTTGGCAAATTTGTCAGTATTGCCTAAGGATAAGGAATTTTTCAAAGATGGACCAATATTTACAAAAAAATTGTTAAAATGATTGGCAATATCTTTAGAATTAGATATTTGTTTCCCATTTACATTTATGAAATTAGGTAAGGCATTGTGAGATTTACCCAGGATACCATTGATTAATTGCCATGTTTTTTTCATATTTCCCTTTATTGCATAAAATTTCATCTTGTAGTAGTCTTTACGTGCAAGTTTTAATAACTTATTAGTGTAGTTCCGTAATTGAACGTATTTCCTCTTGTTATTTTCTGTAGGTGAATGACAATACCTTCTATATACTTTATTTTTATTCCTTATCTTTTTATACAAGTCAAATGTAATCCACGGTTTTCTAATCTTTTTACGAACAGATTTAAAAGTTTTCTTTACAAATGCTCTGTTATAAAGTAATGATAAAGTTGTCGAAAACTTTTCAAAAGCTACGACTACATCGGTATAATTAAAAATATTCCAGTCATTACGTAACAAATCCTCTTTGAAAACATTAAGAGATACATCATTGATAATACAAGTATTATATACAGAAATGTTATAGATAGGAAACTGTTTTTGTGTTATTTGAAATATTGGGAAATGATCAGATATATCATTATAAAACAAACCAGAAGAAACATTTAGATCAAAGTTATTTGTAAATATGTTATCAATAAGGGATATTGATCTGTCAGTCATTCTTGAAGGCTTATCAATTAAAGGAATAAAAAAATTTGAATGTATTGCGCTCAAGAAATTACATACAGCATTGCCAGTATATTTCATAAGATCAATGTTAAAATCGCCCATTATATAAACCTGTTTATGTTCAGTATTAGTTTTCTGTAAACAATTTTCAAAGACAGGGATGAAATCATTGATATTTGATTGAGGTTTCCTATATATAACACCTACAATAATATTCTTATGTCTCGGCAAATTGATTTCAATAAACAGTGATTCATAATCGCATGAGGGGTCTAATATATCATTGCGTATTACATATTCAAAATTGTCAGCGACCAACAGACCAACACCTCCACCCTTTCCTTCTTGGCGATCAGAATGTATAAAAGAATAACCAGACACATTAAATAATAGTGGCGTACTGTCATTAATCCAAGTTTCAGAGAAACCGTAAACAGAGAAATCTATACATAAAGTAGAGATGAAATTGGATATAGCATTAAAGTTTTTGTTCAAACTACGGGAATTAAAATGTAAAATACTAAAATGATGGTCAATGTTACTGAATTCAGTCGTAAAATCTTCATCAATATAATATTTACAGTTCAGAAACCTACTGAAATGAAACTCATCTTCATTTCCAGATAAAAAGTTTAAATTATTAATATCAGTATGAGTATCTGTAGTATTACTACCAAATATTGCACAAAGTTCATCATTATTCAAGTCTTGAAAAGGAAATGAAGAATGAGTACAGCATGGAAATGAACACTGGCATACAGAATATTGGTTACAATTACAGTTACAGTATACACATGACATCGTAGTACAGTATCAGTAGAAGAAAAAAAAAGAAAAAAGTTAGGAGTATAACAGGAGAAAAAACGAAGAAAAGGAAGGGAGAGAGAGAAATTAAGAAGTTGGAAGGAAGAATTTACAATTTAAAGTCTTGAGAAATTGAAGATACAAATCACGATCAGGCATAACAAAAAAACTGTATACACAATAAAAAAAACCACAAAACATAAAACATAGAGACAGTGAGCGAGGTGAAAGACAGGAGGGAGGAAGTGAGGTAGAAGGAGAGAGAGAGAGATTAAAAGGGAAGGGGTGTTGGACAAAAAGAGAAATGTATTAAAGTATGAAGATGAAATGATTACAGCATTACTACAAGTTGTATTTCATATTATCTGGTTTAATTTTCTTCCTTATAACTACTTTTACATCGTAAACCAGGATTATGTTCCTCCACAGAAAATAACCGTCCTCATGCACAGTTCTGCATCCATAATTGATTTTAATTTGATACATTCTAATTACAGCTTTTTGATTGTTTTGTTTCCATTTTTACAGCCCAAACACTGGATTTATGGAGCAGCTGAAGTTATTTGAAGCCATGGGCTGTCAGTGCGACACAACAAATTCCCAGTTCAAACAGCACAGACTATCACACTTAGCTGAGGAGATTCATTGTGAGTATGATGCAAGGTGATCCAAATTCAAATTGTACAACACATCAAGGGTTTAGTGACACAAAGACGTAACTCCATATTTTTCCAAAATGATTATTTGATATCAAAATGTTCAGAAGAATGTGGGCTTTCCAGGAAACACAAAGACTTAACTCCACCCCACACCCCATTGAAGTCAATGGCTAGTAAACATAGACTTGACTCCTTAAGGCCCAAGTGCTCAGTGACACATAAACCACTGTTTCTAAAAATGGCCAAAATGGAGTTACGTCTTTTTGTCACTGACCCCTCGACATGCTTCAGCAACAATTGATCTGCAGCCCATGATTGTGACAGCAATCAAATTTTGAACTTTAACCCTGGACCATTACAGCAACATAGCCTAACCCTAGAGCTTCAATGTAATCTATAACCCCAAATCCTATATCTTTGATGAAGTAACACATGTGGAGTGTTTCACAAAGACTAAGATCGACTTTAAATTGGACTTATTAAACTATGGTAGGCTGTTCATGCCACTGTTTGCTATATAAACCATTATGATCTTTGGATAATATTTTGTACTTCAATCATGAATTATCAAATCAATGTAAATTCTGTAGATTTGTGACCATGATTTTGGAAGTCCCTTGAGAGAACAATGCCAGTAAATGGTGAGAGCAAACAGTGGCATGAACGACCTGCCATAGTTCAGTCCAACTTAAAGTCGATCTTAGTCTTTGCGAAACATTCCCATGGTGTAAACATTGCTGAAGTGTATATCAGAATAACAATTTAAGACTTTAAATATAAAGAGAATCTATACAAGAGCATACTGTTTTTAGTTGTATCAATACACTGCCAAAGTAGCTAGCTATCAAGAAACTATTCCAAGGAGATCTGTTTGAATATCTGTGGCTCATATCTTAATTGCTTTCTGTTTCACATTATGAGCAAACCTTCAGCTGTGAAATAACTACGGTATCACAGCACTTTATTTATATGTGTTTCTTGCCTTCCAAAAAAGTAAAAGTTTCATTATGCACAATTTTTTTAGTTTTCCTTTATATCATAAACGTCTTCCATCCTTGACTGCACCTGTCACTTAATGTCACCCAAGTATTGATGATGTTTGCATTGCTTTGACTGTACAGCCAGAGAAGAAATTCCCAAAGATCTACTAGCATCTGATCCCGCAGGCTCATCGCCTGATCCAGCAGGGGATAATACTCTCTACAAATGTCGCAAATGCAGGTAAGTAGAGTTGTTGTTACCGATGGAGGTCTGGTACGGTAGTCGATGGGTGTAATAATTTGACTGGCAATGCAGAGGTTGTGGGTTCAAACCCTGGCATGGCACTCTATGTCCTTGCTATGAGCAATGGTCTACATTGCTACTCTCCACCCAGGGGCTAAATGCATACCAGGGGGAGTGTTTCACAAAAACTAAGATCGACTTTAAGTTGGACTCACATATGGCAGGCCGTTCATGCCACTAGTTCCTCTAACCATTCCTGGCATTGGTTTCTCAAGGGACGTTCAAATCATGGTCACAAATCTACAGAATTTTCATTTTTTGATAGTTTATTGTTGGGAAAAAGGGAATAAGGAAAAGAGTATTATCTAAAGATCATAGTTGAGAGACCAATGGTGAGAGCTACCAGTGACATGAATGGCCTGCCATAGTTAAATCCAACTTAAAGTCGATCTTAGTCTTTGTGAAACACCCCCTGGTAGGATGCAAGTGACATTGTGGTTGGATAATTAGCATGCACACTCTTGTAAACAGGCGACAGACTAGCTAGAGTGTCTCTCAGAGGAGAAGAGAATGTGCAATGTTGTGTTCAAATCATATTAAATCCAATAAATGGGATAATAATGCTGTATGCGCTGTAGTCAGTTATGATGAAATTGTTAAATTGCTGAATAAGAAACAATTATTATCATTGTTATTGCTGTTGTCGTTGCTGTCGATGTTTTTGTTATTATTGTTACTATTATGATTGATATTGTTATCCATTTTTCTCAGGAGAGCATTATTTTGTCAGTCCAGTGTCATAGCTCATGAGAACACCAAAGGTCACAGAGACTTTGGCTGGCACAAGCACAAAGGTCAGATGTCAAAGGAACAAGGTTCAATCAGCTGTACATCGGTCTTTGTTGAACCCGTTTCGTGGATGGAATCTTTTCTGATGGGCGTTCATGAAGGAAAGGTGAGTATTACTTTAAACCAACAGAACTTTGTTATTCCTGGCTCATTTTTCCTGATTGAGGTGTCATGTGAAAGGGCAGAAAATGAACTTTCTAGAAATGTGATTTTCTCTTTGAAATTCAGATACCGCCCTAAAAATGAATTTTTAGTTTCCTCTCTTCAAATTGTTTTTAATCACTCATGCGTGAAATATACATCATAATCACATCAAATGAAAGAGGAGAATCTAAGCTTTACAAATATGTGTCATTTATTAATTATAATTGCGATTAAGTTATGATAAAACATCGATAATTCTCGGTTTTGTTTTTTCTGGGACGCACTGTATAGAGCTTCATTTCCGATCGCAGTCTCTCACACCTCCCTTTTTCTTCATTGGTGATTCTGTGTGTGTATAGAGTTACGGTCTATATTTGTGAGTGATTTGTCAAAGATTAGTTTGTGTATCATCCCAACTTTTATTTTTACCCTAGATATCTTGCCCAAAGTGTGATTCGAGACTAGGTTCATTCAATTGGGCAGGTAAGTAGAAACTAGATCACTTCTTTTACAAAGAATTATTTTGTACTTCCAAACGCTTTTAATTGTAAAGCAATTTATCCCAACATTGGCCAATCTAAGCTATTTTGTCCCATATGTTATCGAACACAGCTAAGACCCCGTTCTCACTCACTTTGAAAGTGGTCTTAGTTAGACCGCTCCAGACCGCTCCAGAGGAACGGGTCTTGAGGAACGGTTTGCGAGCGTTCACACTCCGAGCAGTTGTTATGGCTCAAACCGCTCCACGAGTCAAAGTGGTCTTGTTGCTATGGCAGCTCAGGTAGGCGGGTCAATTTTTTCGCGCGCGGAATCCAAACCCTATGTCACCTGATGTCCCGTTCGCGACGCGCCCCGTATACATGTATATGTGTAGTGCCTGCCCGATCGCTCATCGCGCGGAACGTCACTTCCGTTCACATTGCACGTTAGAGCGCTCTGGAGCGCTCTTAATAAGACCCGCTCCTCAAGACCACCTCGGAAGGTGGACTTCTGGGGGTGTTTCACAAAGATCCTAAGTAGAACTTAACACTAAGTTGGACTTAAAAATTATGGACAGCCATTGGAGCCTCAAAATGAAATATATTCAAAAGCTGAAATTAAAGTATTTTAGACTTTTCATAAATTCCACATCAACAACATGAAATCTACTTGATAATTGACAATATGAATGATTTGAATCAATATTTTATGCCTTTTAAAATATCTTTTAGAAAATATTTTCAAGGATGCTAATGGCTTTCCATAATTTTTAAGTCCAACTTAGAGATAAGTTCAACTTAGGATCTTTGTGAAACACCCCCCTGGAGCGGTCCAGAAGTCCGCTTCCTGGACCACTTTGAGCGTTCTCACTCACCTAAGAACCGCTCCTGAGGAGCGGGTCTTAGTTTGAGCGCTCCAACGAAGTGAGTGAGAACGGGGTCTAAGATTCTATTACATCAGATGAATGTATCAATCAGCAGACCTGCCAACCAGTATGATTTAGTCGTATTTCGTTCGATTTTTAAAAGCAAATATGACAGTACGATTTTCCTCAATAAAATAGGATGTTTTGTTTTGTTTTGTTGTATTTTGTGTGTGTGTGTATGTGTGCAATTTTCAATGAAAAAATGCCCATTCTGTCCTGTAAAGTATCCTACAAGCATATCACATGAGAAATTTGGGGATGTTCATTGGTACACCGAACACACCAGTCATGACGAAATCATGCATATTCAACCAATGATCCATTTAAAAATGTCTTCCTGTATATAGGAACTGTAAGAGGCATTGATCCGCATAACAGTCCATGTTTATTGTATCCCCCGGCAGTATGCCGGTGGGGTACTTTGGATTCAGCAGCATTACGCCGCCGCCGCGTCCGCCGCTGCGTCCGCCGCGTCATATTCTTGTGTGCGCTCTCACTGCCACATTTCTTGATGGATTTCTTTCAAATTTTGTATGGAGGTGTATCCTGGTATAATCTACATACCTATAACTTTTGGTGATGCTGCCCCCAGTGTTCCGTCTTCTATAGGGTACAAGGCCATATTTCTGTGGATGGTTTGTGTGCGCTCTATAGGCCACATTTTTAAAGGGATTTTGTTCAAATTTTGAACGAAGGTGTATCTTGGTATAGTCTACAAGCCTATAGATTTTTAGTGATGCTGCCTCCAATGTTCCGTTTTTTATAGGGTCAAAGGTCATATTTTGATAGATGTCTTGTGTGCACTCTAGTGTGCGCTCTAACTGCCACATTTCTTGACGGATTTCTTTCAAATTTTGTATGGAGGTGTATCCTGGTATAATCTACATACCTATAACTTTTGGTGATGCTGCCCCCAGTGTTCCGCCTTCTATAGGGTACAAGGCCATATTTTTGTTTGTGTGCGCTCTATAGGCCACATTTCTAAAGGGATTTTGTTCAAATTTTGAACAAAGGTGTATCTTGGTATAATCTACAAGCCTATAGATTTTAGTGATGCTGCTTGTATTAAGGTTCATTATAGTTTACTCTAGACCTCCACAAATTTGGTGCTGCTACCCCCCAGTATTCCATCTCTTATAGGGTCAAAGGTCATATTTAAAGGAATATCTTGTGTCGCTATGAAAATCACATTTCTTTCAAATTTTCTATAAATATACATCATAATCTGATCTACACACCTATTGTTTTGGTGATGCTGCTCCTAGTCTTGACAATAGTCTGAGCCACTTGCGGCAATCTCTACGTCATCCTTTTGTTTCACAAAGAGGAGAGGGAATCTTTGTCCCTCCTTCCACATAAGGATAACACAAAATCGCTGCCACTGCCGGGGGATACATTCGCATTGCGCGGCAATACAGATTGCGATGATTTCTAGTTTTTAAGAATACAACTTTTGTCAGTAAAATACAACTTTTGGGATTAAAGAATACAGTTTTTGAACTTCAGAGGTTGGCAGGTCTGAATCAGACATAACATTAAGTAAAATGTGTGTAATTTCATGAAATTAAATGATTTTCCACAATCTTTGATGATACATGTGCATCTCTGATGCGTTTAGTTAGGTGCCTTTTCATGTCACTATTGAAGCCACCTGACTGCTATTCATTCTTCCATTTCCTTCCTGTGATTACCACGTCTTTGGCAATGGTTTTAATTGTTTTCCCATGCACAGGTGCACAGTGCTCATGTGGCTTTTGGATGACACCTGCTTTCCAGATCCATCTCAATCGAGTCGATCATATGGTCCCTGTTCCCTGATACCTTCTCAATCTCAATACCAACGCTGCACCACCACACGTCAGAAGGTTGGTCTTGTCCCAGAAAGAACAGGACAAACTAGAAAACAATCCACTCCACCCACTCTTCGAACAACAGCCAGTGGGCAAGCGGCTCAAATCCAGACACAGCTTTCTGCACTCTGTAGAGCCCCTTAATACCAGCCCTCACAACCAAAGGATGACTTTGTGGTCTAACCACCTCCAGACCACTCCACATAAACTCTCCCTCAGCCCGAAGGAATCCCTCGCAAACGGCTCCAGTGAGACTTGGCCTACCTGGCTAAGCCTGAACCGCCTAAGAACTGGCTACGGACCATGCAGAGTCCTAATTCAGAGGTGGGGTCTAGGAGACGAACAAACAACATGTGAATGCGGCCAGGAACAGACAATGGAACACCTGCTAGTCTGCCCGCTCCTGCCAGAGCCATGCACCCAAAATGACCTCGAAGTTGTGAATTGCCGTGCCAAAGCCTGTGTGGACCATTGGACGGGACTTGTGTAGTGACTCGATAAGAAGAAGACTGCATTTAGAGAACAAGATTGAAAACCACAGCGATGAGTCGCCACTTTCTGGCTTGATCTGCATCAATATTTGTTAAAGACCTGGGGGTGTTTCATAAAGCTGTTTGTAAAGTTAAGCATAACTTTACGAATGACTTAAATACGAAAAGCCAAATGGGATGCTCAATCTCTTTTAACTGCATCAACTAAAGTTGCACTGTGCAGATGTAGATTAACATTCTTATTATAACAAACGTTTTTGATGCAAAGTATTTTTTTTGCCATCATTTCATTGAGGTTATTGGAAATACAGTCACACTTTGTAAAAACATCAGGAAAAACTTTGTAAACAAAGGTAAAACTGCCAATTTCTCTGCTGTCCTTTTCATACTGCGGGTGAAATTCACTCGCTGTGGAGAGCCCTTGCCAGAAGTGTAGAAGTATTGCGCAATTATTAAGCCCGTGCCCCATCTAGCTAGCATTCAGCATGTTCAACCATAAGTCAACAGACACAGCTGGTTACGATAAAGCGCGCGTACGCTGCAACTTTTGACCATTTTCATCGGCCTTTTAATCGGTGTTTTCTCCTCGGTACCATTCATACTGGCTGTTTCATCGGATGTATCCGATGAAAGTCAGGCCAGTTTGAAAGGGGTATTATAATATCACTTCCAACGAGTGTACTGAAGCCGGCCCCTGACTTGTGGCTGGCGGCCAAGCCAAGATTGGGTCATCAATTTTGCTTGTAAAATGTAAATGAGCGGCCGCTTCTTGAGTCCGAGTTGATAATTTTCACCTCTTCAATTCAAATGCACAAAACCAATGCAAATAAGTCTGCAATTGTTTTTGGACTGAAGTAACTATGCGTATGGCTTTTGACCCCCATTGCTTCAGCCCAAACTTGGTACAAGAGGATTTTGACAATACTTTTTGAAAAAGGCTGCAGTTATAATCCACATTGCTTTAGCCCTAACTTGGTACAAGAGGATTTTCACAATACTTTTTGGAAAATGCTGCTGCTCAGTCATCCGTGGCAGCAAAGTTATGAATAAGATATCAGACGGAATATTAGTTAATCTATAGAATGAAAAATAAGTCAAGGTCACACAAATTATTACTTTTAAATTTTGGGTATATACTTTATTGATACGCACTATATCTGCATCAAGCAGCACTATGGATACATGCCATTTATGATACTGTCTATTTACCTTTACAAAGATTTGTGAAAGAGTGCATGCAATCTTGGTCGATTAATTATTTGAAGATGACCTGTCTGGATGTGCAATGCGTGGGTATGTATTGACCATGGGTCAAGAATTTCTGAATATTCTGCCTACAATGTATTTGGTATTGCTATGCATATATAGTAAATATATGTGGATAATGTTGTCCTACAATATTATTTTCGATAATACATGTACAATTGTTCCAATGATTTGTTGATAGCTAACCAAGCACATTCACTCATTTAAAGTTCATTTATAACAGACCTGTGCAATTACCTTCATGGGACAAAGGAATAATTCAATAAAGTCACAAACATGCTGTTAATGTGTTGACATGTTTTTTTTAAAATTCCCATTTTACCTTTTTATATTACTGGTACATTAAAGGTATTTATGTTGGGATACACACTATACAACAAATTTGTCATTGAAAAATGCCAATCAGTTCATGCTCGCGTAAAATTTAATATATTAGGGAATAAGAAAGTTAAAAGTTGTGTAAGTTGTAATCAATATAATCTCATGTAAATTGGCAACTCCATGACATACATGGACTTTTAAAAAATCTGTCCATATTTATTTTGTACTAAAATTGTCATAAATTTCTTCAGGTGCTCATACAATTTTTTTTTAGAGAAAATGAATTTTTTTTCTCAAGACAGCGAGGGAATCAAAGGGACGTCATTGCATTGCCAATCTGCATTTGATCGATAACAAGCAATGACAAGCGACAAGATCCCTGATCTGTACCATTCATTTGTCTCCTACTGTATAAAGCAACTTAACATTATATTTATATATGTAGATGATGATTACTTGTTGCCAAATTTGAATCATGGGACAATAGTTGTAATTGAAGAGCAACTTTAATTCGTCGTTGGTAAATCAATAAATTTGTAAATCAGAAATACATGTATAGGGCTTCTATTCATGTGCTTATGTCTTCAAATGAACCTGGTAATCAATTTTTCAGTCACTTTAAACGGTAATTAAAAAATGAATTAAAGGGAAAGTCCACCCCCAAAATAAGTTAGTTTTAATAGGAGTAGAAAAATGAGAGAAACAAGTCAGTGAAAGTTTGAGCAAATTCCGATTAAAAATAAGGAAGTTAGGATTTTTTAAGTTGTGATCAATCAAACACAAATTGGCAACTCTATGACGTATCATGCGAGCTCAACTTCCATTTGCTCAGTACTAAAAAAATCTAAAATTTTCATTTTCCCTCAAGAAAAATTTCAACCATACATGCACCCTAAATATAATAATTGCAAATATGTTTCTATACTCCCCCTGCAAGGAACAAATATATATTCCGTCGTCAATAACGAAGAAAACATGATTTTATGGAATATTATGCACAAAGCAAATGAAGGAGAGCTCGTATAATAAGTCACAGAGTTGCCAATTTGTATTTGATTGATCACAACTTCAATAATTCATAACTTTCTTATTTTCATTCAGAATTTGCTCAAACTTTCATTCACCTGATTTTCTTATTATTCTGCCTCTATCGAAACAAACTTATTTTGGGGGTGGACTTTCCCTTTAAATAGCATAAGTGAACTTTCTCAAAATTAAGCCTCATTACATTTCCATCATTCTGATACACACAAATGACATTTTGCATCTTCATATAGTATTACAATATGTGTACCCATTTTTCCTCTTTCATATTGTACTTTAAAGAAACCATGCCACTGTTTGTTCTATAAACCATTATGATCTTTAAATAATATTTTGTCCTTCAATAATGAATTATCAAATCAATGTAGATTTGTGACCATGATTTTGTAAGTCCCTTGAAAGAACAAAGCTAGTAAACGGTGAGAGCAAACAGTGGCATGAACAGTTTGCCACAGTTCAGTCCAACTTAAAGATACTATGTCCCTTTTGCAGCCAACATCAAATTCTGTAGAAATGTACAGGAATTATGAATATGTCATGTACCGTATGTCTTATCTGTGAAATTTAAACGTTAGCAGTACTGTCCTAATATTCAAATTATGCAAGGAAACCCGTTCACTTGCTAGACTGCACTGTCAGACACTATTGAGTGACTGACTGGCTTTTTTCAGCTTTGGAAATAACATACCTAAAATGAGCTGTAAAGGGTACATGAGCATTTGTCTACATCAATAACCCACTTCTTGTAATGGCCAAAATTAAAGTGATTGAATCTTTGCACAGCATAAAACATACGACCATTCGGTACAGTGGTCTGAAAAAAATCAGACCACGGTATTACTTACTGGCTCTATAGCTCCTAAGTCGATTCGACAACTAATTTTCTCACTTAAAGACATTTTCAAGCCCCCCCCCCCCTCCCCCCTTTTGCCGTTGGAATTTAACATTTTTCATTTAATTGGCCTGCAAATGGGACATAGTACCTTTAAAAAAGGAAATAGGTACATGGGTGTAAAAGACCTATTCGCTTATCTGCTTCTTTGTCAGACACAGGAATGTGAAGCACATCACACTTATATTGCCCCAGCAGTTTTCTTTGCCATATGTTAATGAGGCTCAAGAAAGACTGTTAATTCTCAAGATTTCAAATTTTTAAGCCAGTAAGAACAAGTCTTCTTCTTCTTCCAGTGACTGTAAGTGCTCAGAGATGCCAACCTCTTGACACAAAAAAAACAGACCGATTATCATCAAAAAAAAAATTAAAAATCAGATTTTGGAGAGAAAAATCAGATTTTAACGAAAACTCAACACTACCACTGGCCCTTCAGCCCTGGGCCAGTAAAATTTCAGAAAATGTTTGCTCTTTTATTCAAATTTTTTTTGTTGGGGTTGCGGGGGTTTACTTATGCGATTCCGCTGTTTTCATTGATTTTTAATTTTGTTTTATTTTTTTGGTTGAAAAATCATATTTTAAGATTTTAAGATCGTATTTCACTCTTATTATCGTACTAAATATGATTTAATCGTACTGGTTGGCATCTCTGAGTGCTGCTTCAAGGCGACGAAGATAAACTCACTGGTTGTGTGTGTATATGTGGAGACTTTCACATATCCTGTTATTCCACATTTTAACTTTTTGTTCTTGTAGTGCAGGTGCATATATACATGTGTAAGTCTTTCACAGGCCTAAGATGGATTTATTATAAACATTATGTTTAGCATATGAAAAACATACATACATGTACGGTATATGAATTCACTTGCTAATAAAGTGACAGACACAAAAAATGCTTTGCTTAAAATACAATAATTTATTGTCCAACATACAGAAAAATAATTATCCGAAGCCATATTCTTAAAAGCAAAAGCAATTGTTTCAAACATAAATAATATTTTTATCAAAATTTATTAAGAGTCATACACCATGAAAATTTGGTATAATGCATTTATAAACAAGTTTGCAATTATTTTCAGCATGATTATCTAATTAAGGGCTTTTAAACCTTGAAAAATAAAACCTGAATTAAACTAGATCATAATATCACATGATTACAAAAATAGCATTTTCAAGTTCAAGAATCATTTAAGTAATCTTAGAGGGAAGAGAAGGGAAAGAAAAGAAGAAAATGTCATAAATAAAATGTATCGGAACAATAGTAATAACAATATGTAAGTTAAAGACATTAATTCTCATATAATTTCAGCTAATTTTGGAAACTTCCAAGTAAAAAAAGAAAGAATGTAAACAAAAAGTAAGATATTTCTTATTAATGCAAATTTCTCTGCATTCCAAACATAACACACCCTAGAAAATGCAAAATGAGTTGAGGGTTTAAACAGAAACACAGATAGAGCGGGTGAAATGTCGAAAAGAAATGGACAAACAAATTACAAATGTTTGAAAATCAAGATCCCTAAATTTAGATGTTCTAAATGCTCTACTATTAGGTAAATACACCCTGTCCCCTAAATACTATCATTTTTTAGCCTGTTGTATACAATGAAGAACGGCATCGAAGACTGACACACCGATTGCTAAAACAGCATCTCCTAGTAATCACAAAACTGGTGGCTTACTTCAGTTAACCAGTAGCCCAGTAAATGTCTGAGGAAGGTGCCTAGATAACTGAAGTGTCACAGAAACAATTTATGTATAAAATGGCATCGAACTATTGCGTAATAAATGCAAATGCAAACATGGTATTTCTGCAAGTTTATGTGAAAGAAAAAATATATCCATAAATTATTTACAAAAATGTGGTGCATACACATACAGTGTACATACGTAACTTGTATGACTATATGCTTTAACATTGTGTGACATACATAAAATAAACATATCTAAATTTCAGTGTGTAATTATTTCTTCTATGTCAAATTCACTTCTGTTTACAAATAAAGTCTTCTGTACATAAAATTCCAAACCCAAATCAATGTTACAAATATGAAATATACAGCAATACATAAATCATTGTATCCCAATAAAACAAAATGTTCCACATCCACAGTAGGCATATTATTACTACTCCAAACTGAACAGCTATTATTATACATTGAAAGACATAATCTGTATTTCACTTCTTTGAAGTAAATATAATGTGACATGATTCAAAACACAGAAGGAAAAGTATGGAGAGTCAGGAAAGGGCGAGATGAAAGAGATCTTGAAAAAAGAGAAGATGAGAAGAAGAAAAAAGGAGAAGGTGAAGAAGATGAAAAAAGAGATGGAGGATGAAAAGATGAAAAAGAAGAAAAAGAAGGTGAAAAAGAGGAGAAGAAGATGAAGAAAAGGAGGAGGAGAAGAAGAAGTCAAATATGAAGGAGGAGAAGAAAAAGAAGTAAAATAAGAAGGAGGAGGAGAAGAAGAAGAAGAAGTAAATACAAAGGAGGAGGAAGAGGATGGGAAGAATTAGTTTAAAGGAGAAATGGAGAGGAAGAAACATGAAAAGACAACATAATATCTTTTTTAAAGACACAAGTTCCATTGAGTTTTGATGGGGGTTTGCAAACAACTGCCTTCATCATCATGAGTTCTGTATAGCCTTGGCAGCTTTAAAACTCCACCGGCAAAATATGAAAAGGAAATTTCACTTATTCTGTACAAATCCATACTTAGCTCCTAATGAGTGGAACAAGAAAAAACTTTCTATGTATAACTTTATCTTAGTGTAAAATCTTTGAAAGTTATCACATGGCATGATTTTAGTACAGAAGCCTTCGAATCGAAATGAATTCAGAAAAAAATGAATCTTCAACGTTGACTTATGTAATGTTTGAATCGACAAATTAATTGGATTTTCAAATGAACAAACCCCCTCTCCAGGGGCCCCTTTACATGAAACTTGGCTATCAATTTACTGTAAGAGGGTGTCGCACAGTGACACCTTCAAATAAAATCATTAATATCTTTGTGGTGTGAGAATTTTTTCAGGATTGTTTGCATGTTAGAGGGTTGTTCGTACAGTAGAAGGAATATAATATGTAACACTTCAAACAAAAAATACAGTTTTTACATCAACCTTCAACAACATTACCGAGTCACTTTAACTCTTTATGCGCCACTTAAAAAAAACCCCTGTGCCACATTCTTTTAGGGTCACACATTTCGAGGGAATCTTTATTGACTCTGCTGAATCAAGAGGCTATAACTCTTCACTGGATGATCATGATGAAAAATATTGTGCAGCAAAGTTGTAGACCGGAAAACGTGCTTTTCGATGAACCGTCATTTGTTATATTTTGAATTATCATTTTTATAATAATCATAATTATATAATGTTTAATTTTTCTTATTTACGGCAGTTTTTTATCCCTCTAGAATTTCTTATTTAGCAATGATAAGACATCTTCAAATCGAATCTATTAGAAAGGTGGACTTCTTACCTTTCTTTACATACCTTGCTCAAGTATTCTAACAATTCAGAAGGTTAGTATTTAGGTTGTTGAAGAAAAGAAGTTCAATAGGGAGAGACTTGAAAGTACCCCGCTCAGCCACCCTTGACAATGGGCTAATCTGCCCATTGAAATCCCTATTACCCCAGGTTATTGTCAATGTCCGGTTTAGCGGGGCATGAAAAGGGACGTCGTGGGGATGTTTTTCTTTGTTGTGCCATGATAAGTCAATAAGAAATAAGAGAATGTTATTGATTTTGCCCACTGGTATGAGCATGTAAAAATGGTATAGGCATAATATATTATATGTGATATACATGACATAATCAGCATCTTATTGAAATGTCTCATTATGAATGTTCACCGCATCTGTTCTCTCACCTTCTTTACCCCTCAATAAAATTGATTTCAAGTACATTTATCACAGCCATAGATATACAAAGAAAGAATGAATCAATCTTAAAATATAAACTATATTGCATTGTTTTCCATTTACTTTATTGTGAGAGAGCTTATTATCAGAAATGATTGACGAGTGGAGTATGCAATGAATAAAATATGGAGAACGGACGTGAGAGACATTATGAGAGAGAAATAGTGATATGAAATGAAAGGACTTTACTGTGAATAAAGATTATAAGAGAAAGAGATAAAGATGACGGCAAGACAGGATACATATTGATACGAAAATAACAATAATAATGAGATAGAGATGACGGAAAGAAAGAGAGTAAACACTGATAGCATAAGAATGAATAAAGATAATAAGAGAAAGATATAGAGATGACGGCAAGACATAGGGTACATATAGATAGGAAAATGATAATAATAATAAGATAGAGATGACGGAAAGAAAGAGAGTAAACACTGATAGCATAAGAATGAATAAAGATAATAAGAGAAAGATATAGAGATGACGGCAAGACATAGGGTACATATAGATAGGAAAATGATAATAATAAAAAGATAGAGATGACGGAAAGAAAGAGAGTAAACACTGATAGCACAAGAATGAATAAAGATAATAAGAGAAATATATAGAGATGACGGCAAGACATAGGATACATATTGATAGGAAAATAATAATAATAATAAGATAGAGATGACGGCAAGAAAGAGAGTAAACACTGATAGCATAAGAATGAATAAAGATAATAAGAGAAAGATATACAGATGACGGCAAGACATAGGGTACATATAGATAGGAAAATGATAATAATAATAAGATAGAGATGACGGCAAGAAAGAGAGTAAACACTGATAGCATAAGAATGAATAAAGATAATAAGAGAAAGATATAGAGATGACGGCAAGACATAGGGTACATAATTATAGATAGGAAAATGATAATAATAATAAGATAGAGATGACGGAAAGAAAGAGAGTAAACACTGATAGCATAAGAATGAATAAAGATAATAAGAGAAAGATATAGAGATGACGGCAAGACATAGGGTACATATAGATAGGAAAATGATAATAATAATGAGATAGAGATGACGGCAAGAAAGAGAGTATTACACTCATAGCATAATAATGAATAAAGATAATAAGAAAAAGATATACAGATGACGGCAAGACATAGGGTACATATAGATAGGAAAATGATAATAATAATAAGATAGAGATGACGGAAAGAAAGAGAGTAAACACTGATAGCATAAGAATGAATAAAGATAATAAAAGAAAGATATAAAGATGACGGCAAGACAGGATACATCTTTCTTTCATTAGTTTTATTCATTCTTATTCTATCACTGTCTACTCTCTTTCTTGCTGTCATCTCTAGCTCTTTCATTAATTTTTATTCATTCTTATTCTATCAGTCTACTCTCTTTCTTGCTGTCATCTCTATCTCTTTCTTTCATTATTTTTATTCATTCTTATTCTATCACTGTCTACTCTCTTTCTTGCTGTCATCTCTATCTCCTTCTTTCATTTTTTTTATTCATTCTTATTCTATCAGTCTACTCTCTTTCTTGCTGTCATCTCTAGCTCTTTCATTAATTTTTATTCATTCTTATTCTATCAGTCTACTCTCAGGGAACACTTTTATCACTAGAGTCTTCGTCACTGCTCGATTCGTCGGAATCAGAGTCCATGCTCCATGCTTCCATAGTAACAAGATCTCGAGCCTCCTCTACACTAAACACACGTTGACGTTTTCCAGCAGGTGCCATCGTAACATCAGTAAAAAAAATCCAAAGAAAACCGCTAAATACACGGTAATTTCGAATGTAACACTATGAAGAAAAACAGTTTACCGGAAAGTGTGCGATGTATACAATGTAAACAATAGTAAACGCAACGCGTGGCTACACACTGCGAGCGGTATTATGAATGTCTAATTGACTCGTATATATCTGTGCAAAAATGCGAAGTTGGCACGCCTACGTCCGTGCAAATCGGCGAACAAAGCAAACAAAGAGTTAATAACTTTGTCCAGTCCACTGATTTATGGAGTGCGAAATGTCCACCTCTCCATTCCCAACACAGTACCATACTTCATTACAGAAATGGATATGTGTAAAGAATTATGAATACTGTCCGAACCTCGCGAGTCTTCTCATTCTATTGTATCCCAAGTTGGCCACTCAGTATTCAAATTTGCATTTTCTTTTTTTTTTAAAATCTTTATATATCAATTTGAAATCCAACTACCACATAAGTCTGTGAATATTGATGTGCATCCCCTCTTTCTTTTCTCTTCTTTTTTCTGTCTTTCCCCCTTTTACCAATATTTTGTTCCTCCATATTTGTATTATTATGTATCCTTTGAGGGTAGTCATACTATCAAGCTTTGCTTATTTTGTCAACCCTCCTGTTTGATGTTCTCGATTAGTTATACCCAGCCTAACTTTATTCTACACATATTCTTTTGTCATGTGTAAATTTGCAATATTTCTTTGTTATATATTTGTAAAAATGCAAAAGAAAAAAAATCAAACAGAAATAAATAAATCAAATCAAATCAAATCAAATCAAGAATTGCATTGTTATAATTGTTACTGCAATAGTGAACTGTACATTTGTTTGGAGGATGGATTGTGTTTGGAAGGAATAATAATGCATTTTGCAACATTTCACATTTGACTTCGCCCCATATTCAGGTGTACTGCACAGTCAATGATTACAAAATCATGATAAATTGGGCATTATCGTAAAGGGTAACAAACGGGCTTTTCAATGAAACCAATGTTAAACATGATAATATAGTCACAAGAGAGATATCAACACTCAAAACGTGAATTGCAGAACTTTTTTCAAGCAGTTAATAAGTCTTAAATATGTTGTTTTAAAGCCTAGTAATACTTTGAAAGAAATACTCACATCAAGAAGTAATGCCATTCAAATAAGAAATTGTTAAAAGTAAAATAATCACTCAACCTTTCCCTCCAAATATCCCCTTTATCCTAATTCTCTCCTATGTACATTGTACATGTATGCAATGTTGCTGTCCACCCCCTCCTAACCAACACACTGTACAAGGCAAGGAGTGTTCGTACATACTGTATGGTAGTATTGGAATAAATAAGAAGTGTTGTATGTAACCTTCTGCTGGTAATAATGCTAAAAACTTTTCAAAAATATATGTGGGTGATACAATAGTTACTATTTCTATTCCCTAGTTACCCCCATACCAGACTTTTAATGTGGTTAAGCCTACTATTACAAATCAATGTTTTCAATGTTACTCATTTCATTTGTTCAATCACACACATTTGGATTCAATAAAAGTTGACTCACATTTTGCATGATACTTACAAGAGCTGGATATTTTTGAAAGCTATCATGAATTTGTATCCGATATTTGCCTCCATATCACACCTTTAATATCATTAATCACCAGCGAATGCTCCATGTCCATTTTGCGACCGCTGTGTCTCAATCCTTTACACCGATCGAACGTCACTTTTAATTTCTCTTCAATTTCAGTCGGTACTCCGTTAAATAGTACTGGTTCAATCAGCTGACACATTTTGTATAGATTAGGATAAGTCACTTCACTCTGGCATTTATGGCTTTCCAGGCTGCAAGGAGACTGACAGTTCAAGCCGTAGATGCAGTCGCTGTCCGTCTGACACTCTCTCTCCTTGAGCTGTCCCTCAACTTTGACCTCCGGGGAAATCCCCTGAAGATCCAGAAGCTTTGGATCGTGCTTGCGGGTGTAGCCGATGCTCTGCGGGGTTACGCTGCACATGAGGAAGTTTCCGAGGGGGTTGTCGATGATCTCCTCCACGAACTCAATGACGCCTAGAACTATGTGGGCACGTTGCGCCCAGCTCAGCTGGTCACGGTCAAAGATATTCCTGAAGACACCAGAGTGCATTTGATTTGGTCCATAGAGGTTGTACACCTGTACCCCCTCTGTGACGTAGATATCCCCACAGAACCCTTCCAATCTGGGAATCATCTCGCTTCCAGACAAAGCCATCAAGATCAGGAAGTTATTCCCATGCAGCAGTCCCCACAGGGTCTTCGCCTCGGCCAGTGACACCTTCCCGTCGTTGTTGATGTCGGCAATGTCAAAGATCTTGGTCTGGAACTTGACAAAGTAGCTATCTCCCAGTCGCAGCTTGAGAAAAGCCGACAACATGTGACGGAGGTCTTCCATGGAAGATCCGTCCATCGGTCTCAGGTAATCTCCATCCTTTGGGTCGTGGGTCCAGTGGACAAGCAAGCGCTCCTTCCACAGAGTCGTAGACTGCTTCACCTCAACCTCGTATACCTGTTTACAATTGAAAGAATATACATCATGATGCATGTACATCAAAACCTACATTTCATAGCAGTCAACATATCAAATTCAATAATAACAATATTTCATTCAAGCTTTTTCTGTTTCTCATAAACTACACTTGGAGGCATCACAATGGGCTCTAGTAAAAATTACTCTTGAGGACAATTTCCTACACTCGTCTAATTCATACCTGTACCCAACATTTTACCTACCCTCACTTTGACTCGAAACCTACGCAAAGATATTTAATCACTGCCCCATTAGCTCTAAATCTTTGACGAAATAGAGCGTTGAAATGTGACATCATCAAATATCTATTTTTAGAATTTCTCAATTTTTTCTTCATTTTCCGAAAGAGTATAAAAAATAATGTCCAAATGTCGAAAACCAATTGAATATATTAAGTATTGATTGAGATATGACCATCTGAATGAATATATTTCCTATAGGAACTCAGTGTTATATGCTCTGGCTCCTCATGGTTTCTGAAAATGAAGAAAAAAATTGAGAAATTCTAAAAATAGATTTTTATGACGTCACAGCTTCGGTACTCTATAAAGCCAAGAGAAAATGCCTTCAAAGCATGTGTTTGATAACCACTATGACTCAAAGTCACATACTTGTACAAGAGCATGATGATCCTGCAGTGAAAATTGTCAGATCCCCAAAGTTTCTGGTTTTAAACGTATTCTGCTATAGACCAGTTTTGGAAATGCCCCCCCCCCCCTCTTAAAAAATGAAAAGGAAGCTCTTATTACCAATTATGTGAAAGAATATGTTTTGACTAATATGTGATGATACAAATTTTGATGGGAAACTGCCTACTAATTGATATATTTGGTAAATTATAATATCTATCCGGACTGGATATATATAGGGTAGTCCCATATACCTCTTTCTGCGTACAGTGCTTGTAACTTTACCAAGACTTGGCCAAATTTCTTATCATGTTGATGATTCCAGAACCTTGCAGTACACACCAAAACTTATATATGCTAAATGATCAACCTTTTCTGATCGATACCACATTTCTTTCACAATACAATCGCATGACCAGAACTGGTCTATACCTTTAATATAAAAGCCATAGACTGCTGTGTCTTACCTGATGCTCTAAGCTTTTAGAGAGACACTTTGTGAAGACAAAATCTTTCCCTTGGCATAGCCTGGGACACATCTTGCCTGTGATAATCCCTTTGGAGTAGAAGTGGCACTAGGGCAGACAAAGGTTGAAAGTGAAATCAAATGATGAAACGATTAAAAAATACATTGAAATGCATACTAAAGAAACCTTGACATAAAACAATCTGCCAATAAAGGCCACTTTTCTTGTCACCCTTTAGCAGTTGGTACAGTCTTCAACTGGCAGTGAAAAAAGTACACGAGGGGCTCAGGGCGAATTAGCCCCCGAAATGCTAAAAAGAGCCCCCCAAAAAATTGCATAGAGTTCAATGCAAAACAAATTAAAGAGTGTTATTTTCAAGCAAGCTTGAAAAGTAGCCCCCGAAGAAGTATTTTGTAGTGCATTAAAATGATTTTGGCATTCATTTGCACAGGCCTCTTTTGTGAAACTGTATGAAGGTAGAATAACAATCGAGTGCAGGATCATAAATTAACGACAGGAAAAAAAAAAGTTATGCAGAAGCAAAGAGGAATAACTCACATGATGATCCTCACACAACCTTTTGGGAGATTCTTTTAATATACAGTGCGTCCCAGAAAAAACGAAACCGAGAAGTATCGATGTTCTATCATAACTTAATCACAACTATAATTAATGAATGATACATATTTGGAAAGCTTAGAGTCTCCTCTTTCATGTGATGCTACTCAGATAATGCATATTTCACGCATGAGTGATTAAAAGCAATTTGAAGGAAGGAAACCAAAAAGACATTTGGCGGGCGTTATCTAAATTTTGAAGAAAAATTCACATTTCTAATAAGTTGAGTTTCTGCCCTTTCATATGACACCTCAATCAGGACAATTGAGCCAGGAATGACAAAGTTCTGTTTGTTTAAAGCAGTGCTTGCATTTCCATAATTTTATTAAACGAATTCGTTTTCACTGGCTGCCTGCCGTATCAATAAACAAAATTAACAAAAGACTTAACTCCGTTTCGTTGACAATCAGCCGTAGACGAGAGTTTTCATGCATGGCTGAGGGTCAACGAAACGGAGGTAAGTCTTTTGTCAAATCTGCTTTTTGCTACGGCAGGCACCCAGTGAAAACGAATTAGTTTGTTAAAATTATGAAAATGTAAGGGCTACTTTAAACAAACAGAACTTTGTTATTCCTGGCTCATTTTTCTTGATTGAGGTATCATATGAAAGAGCAGATAATGAACTTTCTAGAAATATGAATTTTTCTTTGAAATTCAGATACCACCCGCCAAATTACTTTTTGGTTTCCTTCCTTTAAATTGCTTTTAATCACTCATGCGTGATATATGCATCATTTGAGTCACATCAACTGAAAGAGGAGACTCTAAGCTTTCCAAATATGTATCATTCATTAATTATGGTTGTGATTAAGTTATGATAAAACATCGATACTTCTCGGTTTCGTTTTTTCTGGGACGCACTGTATAAGCCCTGAGCAGCTCAGACAAATTCAAGATAATGGATACCAATTTATAAGTAATAGTTTAAATCTTAACAATGCTATCACCACTGGTTGGGAGGGGAGGGGGTGGGAGAATTTATTTTGACCAATCATACAAAATGTATGACTGCTGCACAAAGACTAAGACTATGACAGGCCATTTATGCCACGGGTTGCTCTCGCCATCGCTCTCTCAATTATGATCTTAACATTATATTTTTTTCTTCAATAATGAACTATAAGAAAAATGTTGATTCCGTAGATTTGTGACGATTTGTACGTCCCTTGAGAAACCAATGCCAGGAATGGTTAGGGGAACTACAGTCACTATGAATATGACGGACAAAGAAAGCGGACAAAATATACAGTTCCTCAGGTAGACAAAGGAACATCCCTTCACTGCTATTATGTAAAAATGTGTAGAACAGGTGTCACATGCATATTTACCTGTTCTACACATTTTTACATTATAGCAGTGAAGGGATGTTCCTTTGTCTACCTGAGAAACTAAATATTTTGTCCGCTTTCTTTGTCCGTCATATTCATAGTGAGTGTAGTGGCATGAATGGCCTGCCATAGTTCAAGTCGAACACTTTGATCTTAGTCTTTGTGAAACACTCCCCAGCTAGGACTCACCACATACTGTAGCATATCTTCGTGCCTGCATGCTGCTGGTCTATGATCCACCATGAAGAAAAACCAGCCAGAAATGAAGAGAAGAAGAATCCAGACTATAACAAGATGCTTGACTGGGACGTGGCATCTACCCTGTTTGTTCATAGTGAAAGCAAATTATTAACAAAACTAGATGGACCTTTGACCTTCGAAAATGATGCCTCCACCATTGAGACATTTTACAAACCAAAACAGAAGCAATTTTTAGAATTAAAGTTGAATTGTATTCCAATTAAAGGTTCTCAGAATATCGTGATTACAAGCTATTTTGCATAGGTACATTTATGACCTATGACCTTTGACCTCATGACTCCAAAATTTACTCAAATCATTGGCTTAGCAAAATAAATACATGTCCTGAGTTTGATGGTAATCTGTCCATCGATTCTAATGATAATGTGATCACGAGCTATTTTTGCATACATGAGCCCTGTGACCTTTAAACTCATGACCCCAAAATCAAATCAGTTCATTGACTTTGCAAGATACATGTACATGACCATAGTTTTGTAGGAATCCATCAATTGGCTCTAGATATAATGCAATACACCAGTTTACGGTTGTGTGTGCCATTTTAAATAAAGCCAATGACCTAGAGGTCATGTATTTATGCGTAAATTAAGATTGCGCCCATGCAAATTATGATGAAATCACATCATCCTTTGCATGGGCGCAATCTTAATTTACGCATAAATACCACTGACCTCTAGGTCATTGGCTTTGTTTCAGGGCCAATGACCCGAGGTCAACTGTCTGCGCATGCGCACTGATACAACCGTAAACTGGTGTATTACAAGCTATTTTTGCATACATAATGAGGCCTGTGACCCAATAATTAACGAAATAGACGAAAGGTTTCATGCATGGCTGATC